TGTTCTCCTGGTTCTGCTCACTTCACTTTGCATCAGTTCACCTAAGTCTTGTCATTTCTTACAGCACAATCATATACCACAACTTGTTCAGCCCTAATTGACAGGAACCCCCTGGATTTCCAATTCTTTGCCACCACAAAAGGAACTTCTTTAAACATTTTTGTACAAATAGGTTCTTTTCCGTTTTCTATGATCTCTTTGGAATACAGACCTAGCAGCAGTATTGAGGCCCCTGTGTCTCTTAATGAAAAATGTTACTTTTCTTTGACACCATTGCCCAGGATGCCTGAGGTGGTAATGGGCTTTAACCTGCTTGTACTAGAGATGACACATTCCCTTGTAACATTCTCCACACGGTGACCCAATAAAACCACTCCCCTTGCTTGAAGCCTTTTTAAATGGAGCTTTGGTTTCCAGCGACCTCTGGGTCTCAAAAAACAACCACAGGCTAAGAGTCTCAGAGTGGGAAGACACGTCACTGGACATCCCCTAGTTGTGACAGGGATTCCCTCTACAGCTAACTGGTTGTAACTGGTCCTAAATCTTACCCTGAACTAGAAGCCTAAATTCGACCAGGTCCCAGGCCATAAAGGCAGCGTGACCCTTGACCCTGAGTGTGACCTTAGGCTTAAATCTAACTAACCCTGACCTTATTCCTAGACTTATCTCCCTTATCTTTTTAGTTAAGATAAAAAGGTCTTCTCTTGGGGAAGCAATGTAGTGGTCAACTATCCCTTGGAGAGATTGAAGGGAAACTGAGGCAAGTAGAGCTGCAGAAGTAGCATAGGGCAAGTGGGTCTTTGCTTCAGGGCACAAGGAAGTGAATGAGGTGTGTGCGGGGGAGTACCTGCAGTCTTCAGAAGAGGGAGTGCATCAGACAGTCTGGGAACAGCGCTGCACTGGCCCCAGAAGCTGACTGACAATTTCACCTAACCTGGGCTCAAGGAGTCTCTCTGTCCACTGCGGGCTCTGCGCGCTCTGACCAATGGGAACGCAAAGCTCTAGACTGATAGGCATGGCAGCCAATCCTGGCCTTTTCCACGAGGTGCCTGGGCACGGCCTCTGAGCCCAGGCCGCTGGGAGACGGGAGGAGTTTCTCGCGCTCATTGGACTGTCCCTTGAACCCTTCCTCCAATTACGCGATCCTCCACCCCTCCCCGCCAGGCCCCGCCCCCCCAGCTGTCGCTCCTGGAGTCTGGCCAAGGGTTGAGGCAGGGGCTGGGTGCTCCTCGTGTCCTTGGGCGGTCAGCGCCGGACAGGACACGCACAGGACGCGCCATGAGGGGCTTGTTGGTGAGCGCCCAGTGCCAGCCCAAGACCCCAGCCTGGGAGCCCCATCTGACCTCCTGGGGTGGGACCCACCAGGGCCCCTAGCCCCAGAAAGGGGGCAGCCCCCTCTGACTTCCTGAGATGAGACTCACCAGGACCCCCAGCCCAGGAGGGAGCCCCCACTGACCTCCTGAGATGGGACCCACCAGGACCTCCAGCCCCGGAAAGGGGGGAGCCCCATCTGACTTCTTGGGATGAGACTCACCAGGACCCCCAGCCCCAGAAAGGGGGGAGCACTCTGACCCCCTGAGATGGGACCCGCCGGGGCCCCCAGCCCCAGAAAAGGGGGAGCACTCTGACCCCCTGAGATGGGACCCACCAGGGCCCCCAGCCCCAGAAAAGGGGGAGCACTCTCTGACTTCCTGAGATGAGACTCACCAGGACCCCCAGCCCTGGGAGGGAGCCCCCTCTGACCTCCTGAGATGGGACCCACTAGGGCCCCCAGCCCCAGAAAAGGGGGAACATTCTGACCCCCTGAGATGGGACCCACCAGGACCCCCAGCCCCAGAAAAGGGGGAGCACTCTCTGACCTCCTGAGATGGGACCCATCAGGACCCCCAGCCCAGGAGGGAGCCCCCTCTAACCTCTTGGGTCAGAACAGATTGTTGTTCAGTCTTGTTCCATTCTTGGTGACCTGAGGGACCATATCACACCAATATTGTCTGTGGGGTTTTCTTAGCAAAGATACCGGAGTGGTTTGCCATTTCCTTCTCCAGTAGATTAAGGCAAACAGAGGTTAAGTGACTTGCCCGAGGTCACACAGCTAGTAAGTGTCTGAGGCTGATTTTGAACTCAGGTCTTCCTGACTCACTAACCCTAAATGCACACAGTGCTCTATCTACTGAGCCACCCAACTTCCTCTCAGCCTGGCACATAGTAGGTGCTAAATAAATGTTATCATTATCCTCCTCATCATCCTGGGCTAGAACCCACTGGGGCCCTCCTAACCTTCAGGGATGGAACCCTTACTAACCACCAGGATGCATGAGCACAGGAGTATACTCAGTTCCTGAGCCAGGACCCATGGGGACCCCCTGCCCTCTGGGGCTAGGACTTTTTACCCATTGCGACCACTGAGCCCAGGACTACCCTCTGATTTCCTGAGCTAGGCCCCATCAGGAGCTCTCTGACCATCTGAGTCAGGACCCATTGGGACTTCTAGGCCTAGGAGTCTCCTTTGACCTCCTGAACCAGGCCCCACTGGTGTCCCTTCTCAGGGAGTCTTCTCTGGAGCTGGGATCCACTGGGACCCTCCAACCCCAAAAACCCCCTCTGACCTCTGGGTCTGGAACCCTCCCCCATGGGGTATCCTTTTCCCAGGAACCCCCTTATATCATTCAACCTGGGATTCCCTCCTCTGTATTCTGAGTCCCCAGCTAGAACTCTCCAATGACCCCCTCAGGGGGAATGCCCCCTACTCTGCCATCCCTCTTCCCCCAGTCTGGGGCCATTTGGGGGGAATTCTTGGCCAGGTGATCTCTGAGGTTCCTTCCAGATTCTGATCCAGCTGCTGGCTGCCCTCTGACCTTTGCCCTTGACAGCCCTGCCGCAGCACCCTCCCACTCATTTTACTTCCCTCCCATCCATCCCCTGCAGGTATCCCACTCCCGGACCCTGATCCGACCCTTCAGCTCCAGCGCCAGAAACCACATTGTGAACAAAGTACCTGAAAAACAAAAACTCTTCCAGGTGAGGGGAGCCCAGGACCTGAACCCCCCTCCCCCAGACACCCCAACATCTGCCAAGCATGCCCCATGGCCCTCTTCCCTGGGTACTCTGATGCATCCTTGCTCAAAGTGGCCCCTTCCTTCGCAGTTTCCTGCTATGTTCCCTTTAAGAATCCCCCCATTTTCCGAGAGACCCCAGTTTCTCCCCATGCTTCCAGGAGTCCTGGCTGTGTGGGTCCCCCAACTCTTTGGGGGTGATGACCAGGACTGTCCTCCCTCATGCCTAATGCCTTGCTCTGCATCCTAGGAAAACAATGACCTCCCAGTCCACCTGAAGGGTGGAGCCAAAGACCACCTTCTATATAGAATAACTATGGCCATCTGCCTGGGAGGTGAGTGGAGGGGCGGGAGAGCTGGGCCCCAAGCTGGGTGGGGGACGGGGTGGTGGAAGGTCTCTGTCCAGGGCCAGGGGATCCTGAACTCCATGTGGGGAGGGCAGGGGAGGGGGTGCTGACTTCCGGGCTCTGAGGACTCAGGAGCTCTGGGGGAAGTGAGATCAGGCTTGGGCACTCTTCACTTTCTTCTCTCTTCTCACTCCATCCTCCTCCCCCCAGGTGCTAGTTACAGCCTCTTCTACCTTGGCTGGGCCTCCTTCCCCCACAAGAAGTGAGAGTGGACACCAGGACCCGACAGAAGGGGAAAGGCTTGGCAGGGCCTGGGGCGAGGGTCAGGGCTGGGCAGAAATAAATTCCCTAGCTGGGAGAAAGCTGATCCAGAGCAAGTCTGTGTGTTGGTGGTGGTGCTGCGAGACTGAGGACCCTGACCCGAATGTATCTCCCTGCCTCCCTCCCTCCCCCTCTCCCAAAGGGAGACCCGGACCCGGACCATTGCCCTCACCCCAACACATACACACCCACACTAGAGCAGAAGCCTAGGTTCCAGGAGACTGGCGGTCCTGGGGGAAAGACTGGGGAACCAGGCAGGATCCCCAGAAAAGGGAATCCGTCCTAGAGAGGCGAGCTTACCTGACATGACCCTGTCTATTCCTGTTACTTCTGTTGCTAGCTGGCAGGCCCTCACTCCCTCCTGCTGTCTGCCTTGGGTTTGTTGAGGGTCATACCCCCGAGGGTTCTCCAGGATGCTACCCTGCACCCCCTGCCCCCAGCTGATGACACCCATCACCCTGGATGGCCTGAGTCACACGGGAGTGGTCACAGGAAATCAGACATTGGAGGGGTGGGCAGTCTGGTCTGGGTCTGTGTGAAGTGACTGTATTGAGCTGGGAGGAGTCCTTCCCGTGGGTCTGGAATTCTGGGCCTTTAGTTCTCTCCAGGGTGTCTCTGGGGATCAGGGAGGCAGAGGGGAGAATCCTAAAAGGTGCAAAAGCCCGGCTCTCAGGAGTGTACACCCTCCCTAAACGGAGGCCTGCGGGGGGGGGGGGGGGGGGGAGCTCAAACCCATTGTGGTAGGGATAGCTTAAGGCCCAGGCTGATGGCAGGGTCAGCTCCCGGAATCATCAACCACTGAGTTGAGGGGGACCCTCGTGGCTCAGCAGGCAAAGGGGAAAAGAGGAGCAGGTTTGGAAACTGTCCCCCATGGACAGTCCTTCAGCCAGGTTCCTAGGGTATGGCCCCATATCTGCTCAGACACCCCCAGAGCACTCAATCCAAAATCAGCCCTCCCCGCCCCCCCCTTCCATAAAAGGCAGGGAAAAGACCTTTCCTCCCCAAGGCAATCAGAGCTGTGCGAATGTTAGGCGCTCATGGTGACCCAGGTCTCACGGTCTGAGACAGAAACACCTTCCCACCATCCCCCCTCAACCTGCAGAGTCCTCATTAGCGGAAGTTGGGATTGCCAGAAGATGAGCTGAGGGGAGCCCTGCCCCGCAGCAATGCTAAGGACCCAGGGTCTCCACTTCCCAACCTCCCGAATAAAGAAACCTTGGCCCAAGCTCCTATATGATGGCACACAATGATGGCGGTATGCACCAGAGGAGGCCGTCAGTCTTGTGACCACTGTTTATTTTGGGCGTCAGGGCAGCCGTGAAGCCCTGCCCCTGCTCCCAGGCCCACCCAGAGAAGGGGAGGGGGCTGAAGCACGTGGGGAGTGGGCGAAGGCACTAGATACCAGATGAACCCCGTGAGGGCAGCATGTGATGGCACCTGGCTGACGTGGTAAAACAGGGAACATGTACTTGTGGGGGCTCTGGGGGCAGCGAGCACGTGATATGTTTACAGGCATGGGGGTGGAGCTGGGGGGGGAGACAGCACATTAGAGCATAAGTTGTCTAAGGAAGCTGGGAAGCATGTGGCTGGAGTGTTAAAGCATGTGACATGTTTACAGGGGTGCTGGGGGGGAGCATGTGGTCGGTTGGCACATTCCAGAGCTGGGAGGTGGGGGTGTGGGTGAGTGGGGAGCAGGGGCTCCTTGGTGGTGGCCATATTTGTACAGGAGGGGGTAGGAGGGGCCCCCCAGGAATAACAGCCTCTGGCTGGTGGTGCCAGCGCCAGAGGGTTCCCATGCTAGAACTGCAGGGAAGGGGGAGGCCAGCTTCCTGGTGATGTCTGTCCCGGGCAGCAGAGGGGGCCGATGACCAGTCACGTGGACAGACGCGTGGGCCTCAGGAGTACATGGTCAGCTGCAGCCACTGGGGGAAGAGGGGAAGCCGGAGGAGGAGTGAATTGGGGGGCTCCCCCAGGAATCTGCCAGCACTGCCCAGACCAGACCCCCACCGACACGGGGCGGGGGGCTGGCCCTCACCTCTTGGATGTTTACCCGGATCAGCCCACTGCCATCCTTGTCCAGAGACTTGAAGGCACCTGGGTTGGGGGTGGGAGAGAAACAGTTAGCAGGAGAGGATCTCCAAGTGCACGTGGCCTGCGGCTCGGGAGGGTGGGGTGTCACAGGAAGGCCTGGGGACGGACGCCCCACCCCCATGCCAGGACAGGGCTCAAGGGATCCGAATCACTCACGGAACATGGCATCCAGGCGCACGAGACAGCTGATGAAGTTGTCAAAATCCATATTCCCGTCCTCATCTGAGTATCGCCGAATGATCATCTGGTACAGCTCTGGGCTGAGCTGGAAGCCTGGGGGGCCCAGCAGGGGTCAGCGGCCTAGGCTCCTCATCTGCCCTCCTGCCCCCCTCCCCTCATATCCAGGGACTGACCCGGAGAGCCGGGGGCACAATGCCCAGCCGGCCCACCAAGACCCCGCCCTGCCTGCCCTCACCTACAGTCAGGGGCTCACAGACCCAGAATGGACCAGCCCCCTCAGTACTCTCCTGCAGAAGGAGAGAGCTGCCTTGCCCAGGGTCACACAGGCAGTCAATAAATAGTATGGTAAAATTAGAACTCAGATCCTCTTGCTCCAGAGCCAGGCATTAAGTACCACGCAGCTGTAAATTCCCCCACGGAGCGCACCAAACACTTCCAGAGCCCTTTAAGGTCTGCCCGGCGTCTGACGTCTCTTGGATCCTCTCAACACCTCTGGGACTTGATTATCCTCAATTTTACAGATGAGAAAACTGAGGTTCAAACTGCTGACTCACCCAGGGTCACACAGCTAGTATCTGAAGCACCCAAGCACAGTGCTCAGCGCACAGTAGGCACTTTAATAAATGCTTGTCGGCTGAGTATCCTCACATCCTTTAGACTGTAAGCTCCTTGAGGGCACAGCTTAGCACATAGTAGGTGCTTAATAAATACTGACTGGATATGAACCCCAAAGCACTACCAAGCGTCTGAGGCTGCAGACTTTCGCCTCTGCTGTGCGGTTATCAAATGAATATCAGTTGTTACACAGTGACCAATGAGATATCACGGAAGTACTGACTGGCTTTTAATAGCGCACATGTCTGCGGTGTGCTCAGGTTTACGAGCGGGTTCCCTACAACGACCTCATGAGGTACGGATTCGTTCCCCCTTTTATAGATGAGGAAACTGAGGCTGAGATGACACGTCGTGGCCAGCTAGTGACCGAGGCAGGATTTGAACCCAGGATTCCCCTGACTCTGTGGATCTTCTCTAGGCCTCAGTTCCCCTCTACATAAAATAAGGGGATTGGGTTAGATATGTCCTGAGGTCCAGCTCTGAAGCCCAGACTTCTGGAAGGACAGGGGAGAAGAATCACAGCAGGAGGAGTTGTGGTGGAGGCTGTGATCTGTATTGACGAAGGGAGTACCTTCCACTGAGGAGATCTGGCTAAGTGATCAGTCAGTTGCTGAATCTTTATAGATCAAATGTTGTACAGTAATTGATTAGCTGTTGATTACTATAATGTTTGTAAAGAGATTCCAAGTCAGTGATAGCCTCTATGTGAGCCTTGAGGCCCTGTGTGGCCTTGAAATCAGGACCCTGGTTCAGGGGCCCCCATTTTTGTGTCCCGAACCCCGGGTAGTGTGGGAAGCCTAGGCATCCCTACTTGGAATCGCTTATGGTGGAATTTCCAATTAGAGGTTTCTGAAAATAAGGACGGAATGTTTTTTTCCATCCAAGGTCGTGGACCCCTGGGCCACATCCATGGGCCCCTGGGGGCCACAGACTCCAAGTTAAATTCCCACCCCACAGGGCCTGGTTTCCTGCACTGATCAAATCACAAATCTGTTCCCTCAAAAATTCTAGATCCAAAGTGGTCAGACCTTGGGAGTGCTGGGGCTGAGTCCTGTCTCACCTTCGGGTCCCTCCCCATCTCCCCTCTAACCCCAGGGCCCCCAAACCTGCAGCTGTAAAGGCTCCTGGAAGTTCATGGCTGCCGATGGTCCCTGAGCGGTCTATATCGTGCTGTTTGTAGATGGCCTGAAGAGGGAAAGGGGGGATGGGGAGAGGTCAGAGCAGCACAGAGGTCCATGGCGGGGAGGGGCAGCTCGGCCCCCAAGAACCGGGAAGGAAAGGTCCAGGACACAGGGGGATGGGGGAGAGGCCAGAGTGGCACAGAGGGGCAGCTCAGCCCCCAGGAACCGGCAAGGAAAGGCCCAGGATGCAGGGGGATGGGGGAGAGGTCAGAGCAGCACAGAGGTCCATGATGAGGATGTACAGCTAGGCCCCCAGGAATGGGCAGGGAAAGGCCCAAGATGCAGGGGGATGGGGGTGGTGAGAGGGGCAGGCTGGGGATGGGCGGCTCTCAGGAAGTCAGGTTAGCAGAAAGGCCCGGGATTGGGGAAGGGCAGGCTGGTCCTAGGGGCAGACCCACCTGCCATTTTTTTATGTTGTTCCAAAGGTACTTAAACTCTTCAAAGCCAAGTTTGCCGGTGGTATCGCTCTGGTGGGGGCAGGAAGTTAAGGCTCAAATTGGGAGGAAGGGGGGCCATTCTGTGAAGGGGGGCCATGATGCAAAGTCACAGCATGCAGGAGAGGGCAGAGTGGGGACCCTCCACATAGAATACGCCCCCCCACCCCAAATCCCCAAGGATACGTCCATGACGGCCACCATGCTCCGGCAGGTGTCGAGGCCAAAACCGTCAGTCTTCAGGTCAGGGTCTGTAGATGCCAAGGTCCAAGGTCAGAGTTCACACCACTTCTACCATCCCTGGCCCTAGCCCAGCCCTCTCACCCCCAGGGTCACCAGGCACTCACGTCGAGTCACCACCTTGTTTAAGATGTTCATGAGTTCAGAGGCACTAACTTCCATGTCCTGTGGGGAGAGGGTAGGAGGGGAGACTGAGGCAGCAGGAGAGAGGGAGGGGTCCCCTTACCCTGGGGCTTCTTCTGCCAAAAGCCCACTCCTAGGAGGCCTCCTGGAGTGCCCAGGGGTGAGGGAAAGGACTGTGTCTAGGGGCCCATCCATTCCTGGAGAAGCTCACTGGGACACCGAAGGGATGGCGTGTGGGAAGGGAGCTGGGCACTCACGTCTCCTGCCAGCTGGGCAAACAGCCTCCGGAACTGCCTGACCTCCTCGCTCTCATTGGCCTCGATGTTGGAGAAGTGGGATCGAGGGGGCTGCTAGGAAAGAGCAGGCTCAGAGGAGAAACCACCTCCTCTTTCCACTGTCCATCCCCCCAGCCCAAGAACGCAGGCAGGCCCTCCCTTGTAGGCTGTGACCCTCAACCCCAGGAAGAGGAGGCGGGGATGAAAAGGGGGGATTCACTTACCGGGGGCTCTGGGTTATAATTGGCTGCAGCTTCACTAGAGAGAAGAATGGGGAAGGGGGGATGTCATGGAAGGGGCAGAGACTGGCCCTACCCCCTCCACAAAACCAGTCTGGCAACCTACAGGAGGACCTCTCTGCCCGGGTCCAAGTGACTCCTCACACTCAGAACCAGGGTCAGATCCCTGCCAAGAAGCCCTCCCCCGAGAGAGAAGTGACCCTTCCAGAATTCTCCACTCACTGCCTCCCAACTTGGGACACACACACACACACACACACACACACACACACACACACACACACACACACACACACATACACACACACACACACACACAATTGATGCTCCTTGGTTTCATTCAAAATGACACTCACTTCCTGATAACCTGCCCAGCCCCCACAGAACCCTCCCAGGTAACAGAGAGGGCTCAGGAAAACAGACCCAACAGGCCTGGGTGGGAGGGTGCAGGCGGCATTCCACAGAAGCAGTCAGCCCTCCCCGGGCAAGCCCTTCCCCCACCTTTTCCCAGGGTCATCTCTTTTAGACAGCAGATACCTGCTGCTGGAAGCCGGCCCTAATCACCCCCTCACATCCACACCCCCCAGGTCTTAGTAGGGGGCAGGGAAGTAGGGGAGGGAAGAGGATGGGGGGGACAGGGGGCAGCCTTCTTCCTCCACCCCTGCGGTCCGAGCCTCTCCCAGCAATAGCATCACTGCTGAACTAACTCTGTGACTACTTGTCTTGAGTTTTGCTTTTCAGCTAACGTTTACAGACCTGTGTCCAGCAGCCGCCCCTCCTACACCCACCCCTGCCATTGACTACCTGGGTGAACTTCGCAAGTCACTTCATTTCCTGAGGCCTCAGTTTCCACATTTGTAAAATGAGGGGGGGGCCTCTGGGGTCCCAGCCAAGACCCCTTTGGCAGTCTGGTGAAACCTCTGCACCCCTTCCCAGAAGCAGGTTTTTAAACTAATAAAACACATAGGATTACAAAGGAAACCAATTGCATTTAAATACAATTATACAAATATTTTAAAAAATAAAGACTGCTTGGTCTAGATTGGAGGAGCCCTGATATCTCATGCTCCTCCCACTCTCCCCCCAAGATGCCTCAAGACTGCTCCACCAGCATCGTCCTGGTAACAAAACCTCTCCCCGTCTCTGGGACACTGAGGCCCTCGGGCCCTGGGCTGCAGCCCCAGGAGGCCCAGCAGCTGGCTGGGCCCTGGTCCTATCCCTCAGGTAGCTGCTGATTGCCACCCAAAAGACAACACCCAGGTATCCCTCCAATAACCCCGGTTATCCTGCGTAACCGTAAGGCTCATCTAAGTGATCTTCTGCATGCTGTGACTCATCCATCACATTAATCCAGTCCCCCAGGCGCTGACTCCCGCTCTCACCCCTTGCTACCCATCTCACCCACAAGTCTCTCCTAACAGGCAGTATGGCACATTGGTTACCCCCAAAGAAAAAGCAAAAGGACCCCCAGGTACAAAACCATTTATGGCAGCTCTTAGTGGTGGCAAAGAATTGGAGACTGAGAGAATGTCCCTCCACAGGGGAATGTCTGAACAAGTTGTGACCTATGAATGTGACGCAATCCTATTGTGCTCTAAGAAATGACGAGGGGGATGGTTTCAGGGAAACCTAGGAAGACCTGTATGAACTGATGTGGACGGAAGTGAGCAGACCCAGAATAATTTACACAGTGCGCACCAGTAACTCTGAAAGACCTGAGAATTCTGAGCCACATGACGACCCGCTGGGATTGCAGAGCTGGCCTTGGGATACAGGATGAGACACCTTCTCAGACAAAGGCAACGTGGCAGATTAGCACCAAGGGCTCAATTTTTCTTTTTCTTTCTCTCCCAATGAGAGGGGGTGGGAGGAGAGGGGAGAGGGCTAGGACAGCAAAATTACAGAGGGTGGCTGAGGCACAGTTTTTAAAATTGCAGCTAAGAGAACGGGAGGGTCAGAGAGAAGCGCAGAAAAGCAGGACGGCTTTGAAAGAGATAGATTTTCTACTTTTGCAGAGTAAGAAAATAATGCATCTACTGTTTCATGAACAATCTTTTTTCTGTCTTATGTACCTAGAAAGGACAAGCTATTTGGTGTCTGTTAAGATCTAAATAAATAGAAAAAAAAGAATGCACTGGGTCTCTACTATCTACACTAGCTTGCGCAGGTTTCTTAGTCAATTTGGGCCTCAGTTTCCCTATCTGTAAAATGAAGGAGTTAGACTCTGAGGTTCCTTCCAACTCTCATCTGGCATGCTGTGATCCCTTCATAGGAAGAATCCCTGTCTAACCCATTCCCTCCTGTCTCCTTAGAGAAGCCCCTCTCCCCATGTCCTAATGGATCCTTCACCATCTCCCATACCCTGAACACGGGTGCCCCCAGCCCCCAGGTTTGTCCTCTTCATTTCTCATTAGGCTTTCTCTCTCTCTCCCTTCTTTCTCTCCCCTTTCTTCTCTCTCCTCTCTTCTCTCCCTCCCTCGCTTTCTCCTCTTTCTGTCTGTCTCTCTCTCTCCTCTCTCTTCTCTGTCTCTCTCCTCTTTCTCTCTCTCTCCTCTCTCTTCTCTGTCTCTCTCCTCTTTCTCTCTCTCTCTGTCCTCTTTCTTTCTCTATCTCTCTCCTCTTTCTCTCTCTCTTCTCTCTCTCTCTCCCCTCTCTTTTCCCTCTCTCTTCTCTCCCCCTCCTTGTCTCTCTCCTCTTTCTCTCTGTCTCTCTCCTCTTTCTCTCTCTCTTCTCTGTCTCTCTCCTCTTTCTCTCTCTTCTCTCTCTCTCCGTCCTCCTTCTCTCTCTCTCTTCTCTGTCTCTCTCCTCTCTCTTCTGTCTCTCTCCTCTCTCTCTCTTCTCTGTCTCTCTCCTCTTTCTCTCTCTTCTCTGTCTCTCTCCTCTTTCTCTCTCTCTCTCCGTCCTCCTTCTCTCTCTCTTCTCTGTCTCTCTCCTCTCTCTTCTCTCTCTGTCCTCCTTCTCTCTCTCTTCTCTGTCTCTCTCCTCTTTCTCTCTCTCTTCTCTCTCTCTCTCCCCTCTCTCTTTTCCCTCTCTCTTCTCTCCCCCTCCTTGTCTCTCTCCTCTTTCTCTCTCTGTCCTCTTTCTCTCTCTGTCTCTCTCCTCCTTCTCTCTCTCCGTCCTCTGTCTCTCTCCTCTCTCTCTCTCTCTCTCTCTCTCTCTCTCTCTCTCTCTCTCTCTCTCTCTCTCTCTCTCTCTCTGTCTGTCTCTCTCTGTCTCCCTCAGCCCCAGTACTGTATCTCCCACAACCAAGAGACTGCTGTCACCTTAAAGTCCAATGTCACTGCACATCAAAGCTGACCTCACTGCCGTGCCTCAGCCCATGCCTTCTGGAGACTTCACTTCTTCTGACCAAACATGTCCTAAGTACTGTGCTAGGTGCTGTGGAGGGTCAGAGCCAACAGAACCTTGCTCCCCACTGACCTCAAGAGTCTGTCATCCAGGATTGGATGCCTGAAGTCAAGAGCCCAAGACTCAAGAGGCAGGAAGACCTGGGTTCAAATCCCACCTCTGACCCACTCCCCCTTTTAAAATTTTTGTTTTCAGTTCCAAATTTCCTCCCTTCCTCTACCCTTCTCCCACCCACTGAGAAGACAAAAATACTCCTACATGTAAACTCTGACCCTCTCTCACTTGGCGATCATGGCCAAGCTACATGACCTCTCCAGGCCTCCTACACCAAATGATGATAAAACGTGTAAGTATCTACCTCACAGAATTATGGACAGGTTCCAAACAGATAACAGAGATGGAGAACTTTTCAAACCTCAAAAAAAGGTATAGCTAATCTCTGTATCATATACAATAAAATGAGGGGCAGCCAGGTGGCACAGTGGATGGAGGGCTGGGCCTGCAGTCAGGAAGACCTGAGTTCAAATCCAGCCTCAGACACTTACTAGCTGTGTGATCCTGGGCAAGTCACTTGACCCTGTTTGTCTCAGTTTCCTCATCTGTAAAATGAGCTAAAGAAAGCAATGGCAAACCACTCCAGTGTCTCTGCCAAGAAAATCCCAAATGGGGACACAAAGAGTTGGATACAAACAACTGGACAACATCAAATAAAGGCAGCGTGGACAATGGCTAGAAGACCTGGGAGGTTCAAGTCTTGAGGATGCCTTAGAGGCCCCCTGGCTGTGTGACCCTGTGTGACACTGTCTCAGTGGCCCCAACAACTCTGAGACCACTTATATTCTGCACTGAGAGAAGGGCCTTTCTCACTGGGAGTTCCCAACACCAGAAACCACCCATCCAGACCAAAAAAAAAAAAGCCCTGAAAACTACCTATTTATCTTGGTCTGGGCCTGTGATTTCAACAGCTATGCAGAACTCTCTCACTGCTGGGGAAACTCTCCTCCACCAATATAAATTACTGTCTTATGAGGCTTCTGTGGCTTGCCTTGGGGGAGCTTGGTAAGAAAGAATCAGACGCAGGATTTGAACCTGACTCTGAGGCAGGCCCTCTAAGCATCACCCAAGGTCACCTCTTTGTCACGATGCCTATTGAGAGTTGTTACGCTTACACGCTCAGTCTTTCTCCCTCACCCACATGCCCTGTTACCAAGTCCTCCTTGGTAACATCCAGATCTGTCTCCAACCTCTGACTTACAACTTCACCTAAGGGCCCCCCCTTCCCCACATGACATGCAGCCCCAGACCTCCTCTGTCTGTGGCTGTCAGAATGGAAGCAGCGCCTGGCACCCTCTTTTACTTAGCACAGGGCTTGGCACACAGAAAGCACCCGATAAATGCTTTTTCGTTTATTTCTTCTTTCCATCTCAATGTATCCCACACCAAGCTCCTCCCGTCCCCTAACATGGGTCTCCATTCTGAACCCAGCCGGGCTGCCCTGCCTCTCTTTATCTACAGCCAAGAGCTTAAGATTGTCTCCAGACCAGGTGTCTCTCCTTTCTCCGCCCCTTCCTCTGTGGGCAGAACCTCTTTCTTACCCCTACACCTGGTTGTTCAATTAAACATCTATTCTGTGCAAAACACACTAACAAGGAAAGAAACGGGCCCCGCCCCCAAGAAGCTTACATTCTCCTGCTGGGTTTACATTTTTAAAGCCTGCCCTCACCCAAAAACGCAACAGCAACCAGAGTCAGGTAAGAGACCTCAGCAACAGCTGGGCATATGCAAGAGGAGGCCCAGGATTCTCAGAAACCAAGAAGGGGGAGGGCCTGCTCATGTCTTCCCAGTCTTAGAAGACCCTTCCCTTGGACTAGTGTTCGCCCAGGAATGGAGCCCCGGCACCCTCTGCCCTTTGACTCGGCATCTCCTCCATCCTCCACCCCTACTGCCTGCCAGCAGCTGACCCCAAGGAGTGGGCTTTCCTCCCTGGCTCCCTACTAAGTGACCCATCTAACTTGCTCTGCCCAAGCTGGTACGGCCTTTTATGCTCGGGTGCTGTGTGAAATGGCAGAGTCCGGGAACAAGGAGATGGTGGCCCAATGTCCTCTGCCCCAAACAGACCTCATCAGGAGGGGAACCAGGTTCGGTAGGGACTGCCCAACAGGAAATGGATAAAAAAGGGATGGCAGTGCTTTCCTTGACTTGCTCCCTCTGCTCAAAAACCACCAGTGGCCCCCACACTGCCTCCACACTCTGCCGCCTAACCTGGAGTCAACCCTTCACCTTCCCAGGCCTGCTTCACCAGGCCCTTCCACCAACTCTATTCTCCAGCCAACCAGGAAGACTCTTTGCCCCCTCCCCCCAGACCCCTCCCAACCCAAGCTCTGACCTATCCCAGCACGGCCCCCAACCCCAGCTGCTGGGCTCCTACCCACCTGCTACTACTCAAGTTCTGGGTCTCCAATTACAGAACCCTAGATTTGGAGCTGGAAGAGGCCTAGCCTAGGAGGTCACTAGTCTAGCCCCCTTTTACAGAGAAGGAAACTGAGGCCTGAGGAAGACAAATCACACAAATATGAAGTTCGGAGGCAGGGCTTGAACCCAGATCCTCTGAACCAAGCTGTCTCCCAAAGAGAGAATGCTTTCCCCACAGGACCCCCTGGAATGTGTCGGGCTGGCCCTTGGTGGCTCAGGCCCCTACCAGACTCCAGCTGAGTCCCCATGTTATCTAAACTTTGGGTGTTCCAGGCTCTCCGCAGGAGGGGTCGGCTGACCCCCAGTCCTGTCCATGCCCCTCCCCCACCTCCCGATACAGTGTGCGGTAGGAGGGCCTGGGTTCCCTCCGATGCAGCGTGACCACGTGGCCCTCAGTTTCCTCAATTGTAAACCGAGGGGTGTGCGAGGTGGGCCAGTGAGGGCCCCTACCAGACGTTCCTGGCCGAGGAACGCACCCCATAAACTTCAGGGCCTTTTCAACGTTAAAAAGACCATCGAATCCCACCGCTCTCAACCATGGGGGTTCGTGGCTCTGCTGAGCTGGGCTGGGCCTGGAGCCCACGAACCTGGGGTTCCTCCCACGGTCGGAGGCCCCCTCCTCTGCCACATGCCTGCCATGACTGCCTACAGCCACAGGCTAAGATTGCTCGTGCTTATTCAGGCCGGCTCCCCTTTCCAGCTTCCTTCCAGAGCTCCCATTAAGAGGACCCCACCATATACCCCGGGGCTCCCCATATCCGAGGCTCCCACAATCCCAAGACCTTCACATGTCCTGGGGTTCCCCAAGTGCGTGGCTCCCCGTGTCCCGGACAGCCCCCCACTCACCTGATGGCGCTGATGACGCCGCCTAGGATGCCCATGGCGCCCCCAGCCCCTCCGCCGCCGCCGCCGCCCCCGCTGAGCAGCCCCCCGATGACATTGCCGATGCCGCCCCCGCCGCCGCCGCCGCCCTTCCCGCCCAGGAATGAATTAACCAGGAACATGTCTCCGGGACCTGGGGGCCGGGGAGGGGAGGGGCAGAAGTCAGGACCCTGACCCAGCAGCGGTTAGCAATGCGGCGGCAGGGGGGGCCTGCAGGCACGGTGGGGGGCGGATGCTGGGGCAGGGTTTGGGGGCTGGGGGCTGGGGGCCTGAGGCTGGCTTTGGAGAGTCAGGGTTGGGGGTCCCGGGTTCTTGGGGTGCTCGGGGGGCTTTGAGGGGCTCTTGTTCGTGCCCAAGTATTGGGGTTCAGGGGGCGCGGGGGTGGGGGCATTGAAGCTGGGGTTCAGGGTCCCGGGCTTAAGGGGCTCAAGGCCAGGCTGGAGGAGACTTGAGCGGGGTTGGGGATCCCGGGCTTGAGGATCTCCGGGTCGGGGCCCGGGCCTGGGGGGCTCTTGGAATGGGCTCGGGGTTTCCTCTCACCCTGATCTCGGCCTCGGCCTCAGTTTCCCCGGCTCCGGCCTGGCCTCCTGCCCTGCTCGCTATGCTCCACTAGGGTCCGGCAGCAGGAGGGTCGGGCGGGGCCGGGGTGACTCAGGGGCGGCCCCGCCCGAGGCGATGCTCCTTCCTAGGGCGTCCGCGCGGCCCTAGAGTCCGCCCCCGAGCCTGCCTGGTCCTGCCCCGCCCCCTCCCGCTGCATAACGGGACCCGGGCGTCCCCGCCCACCTGCCGCTCCCCGGAACCGGAGCCCAGCCCCCCACTCTGCGGGGTCCCGGAGACACGGGAGGAGGGGGTGTCTGTGCCTTTAAGAGCCCCATCCGAGTCCCCCCCCAGCCAGTGACTCAGGGCAGACGCATCCCGGCGTCCCGGGGGCCACGCGGGGCTACGCGTTACACGTCGCGGACACGCGAGGGGGTGTTGCGGGACTCCTGGGCCCCGGCAGCCGGGGCAGGGGCCGGGGGGAAAAGGGCACAGAGGAAATGGCCCCATGGCGGGCCCCATCCCTGTCCCCGCCCCCGGAAGCCGGGGCCTGGCTTCATCCCCCAGTTCCTGGGGCCGTGCCGAGACGCGGAAGCGGTCGGGGCAGAGGACGCGCTACACCTCGCGGGGGGGGGGGGCACGGCCAGGTGGCCCCGGGGCCATCTCCAGCCACCCCTCCTTGTGGGTGGCTGGGGATGAGTGGGAAGGGGGGGGCTTTTCCCCAGAGCTCGTGGCTGGTTTGTTTGCAATGGAATGCAAGCAAGCATTAGTAAGTGCCTACTACGTTCCAAGCGTGGAGCGAAGAGGTTTACAAACGCGATCGCTTGGTTCTCAGTACTTGTTTCCCCAATAACAGCCTAGAACAATGTCTGGCACCTAGTAGGCATTGATAAATACTTAGTCATCTACGACCACTGTAAAGGCCATATAAGCCAGAAAACATCAATAACCTCGGAAAAAATTCACTAACTACTGGGGAAACTGGACATCACAGACCATAGGCCACAATAAATTCAAAATGGACAGGTGACCTGAATGTTAAAGCCCTTCGGAGCCAAGGGCAAGACCTTTGATTTCACTGAAGTAGGGACCTCCCGCGTGTACGCATTCCCTCCACTAATTCTCTGGCCCACTCTTTGCAATTTAGTGCGTTGAAGCACTGGGAGGCTGTTACTGGCTTAAAATCTGTTCCAGAGAGGTCCTGGGCATCCCATTATCCACTATGCCACAGATGCCTAATTAGAGTATGATTAAAGGAATTATTTAAAAAATTAGAAGCTCAACATACACCTTTCACAGCTATGGGTAAAGAGTGAAATTTTTTTGTTATTGTTTTTAGTTTTCCTCCCCCTCCCTGAAAGCTATCTCATAACAAACTATTTTTAAAGGAAAAAGAAAAAAAAATCACAATTGCTGAACATATCAAAAAATGTCTTAAGACAGGCAATTGCGGTCCTCCCAGCTCCAAAAGGGGGGCATGGGTTGGGAGTGTCCACATCTCTTTTTTGGAGTCATGTTTGATCTTTATAACTTTGAGGAGGTAACTTCTTTACTAAATAAGGGATAGGGGAAATTACAAAAAATAGGTAATTTTGCTTACTTGAAATTAAAAGTTTTGCATGAACAAAATGCAAAAAGAGTAAGAAGTGGTCAGCTGTGGGGTAAAAAATCTTTGTATCTGATATGGGTTTCACATCCAAGCTACACAAAAACCTGACAGAAACATCTAAGACCAAAAGCCATTCCAATAGAGATGTGGGCAAATGATCTGGGACAGATTTCAAAAGAATTGGAAATTAGTAACCATATGAAAAAATACTCCAAATGACCAAGAATTAGAAAAATGCCCATCAAAATGGTGCTGAGGCTTAACTTTAAACTCAGTAAGCTGATAAGAATGACGAAGGGAAGGGATGGTCTCAGACTATTTAAAATTTTTCACTTTAACTTATGGGCATGAGAGGCCTCAGACCACTAATTTCATCATTGTGGTGACCTCCCTCCCAGTAAGGCAAAGTGATGGGACTTGCCCAGGGTCACAAGCCAGAATGGACCTGGTTTTCCTGACAAATTCAGCCCTCTAGTCCATTACGTCTGCTGGCTCTATTTCAGTTGTTCAGTTGCACCCAACTCTTCATCAGAAACTGAGGCAAAAAGAGTGAAGTAACTTGCCCAGGGTCACAGAGCTAAGAAGCATCCCAGGCCAGATCTGAACTCAGGGAGGAGTCTTCCAGACTCCAGGCCCAGGGCTCTGTGCACTATGGCGCCCCCTAGCGCCTGCATTTCAGCAGCTTTCTATTAAAATCTTCCCGATGTAGAACTGTAACAACTAAGTTTGGGCCAGGAGAAGAGAGGTGAGACACTTCCCTCAGTTCTTTGCAGAGCTGAAGGATTATGGGTTGTTGAGCGCTGCAGATGCTGCAGATGGGGATGGGCTGGTCTGGTTTTTAATTTTTATTCTGATGTGGGATGGGCCTCTGGGAGAAGCAGGAGGTAATATAACAAGAAGTCAATCCATGCTGAATAAAATGAGCCACCTGTCTCCAGTCTCTCTCCTCTTCAACACAGCTTCCAAACGAGCCTCCCAAAGGCTGTTCTGACAGCACAGGCACAAGCAGGTCACACGCCACTTCCAGGCTGACCAGATGTAAGGAAAGCAAAGGCTGGCCCCGAGGCTGGGCTCACTGCTGCTCCTCCTGTCCACGCTCCCCCTCGTTGGCCACCCACCACCTTTAGCAGTGAGATGCCCCCCACCAGGAACCCAGGCTGCCTCCAAGGGATTCAGAGGCATTTAATTCACTTGTCTCACAACCACACAAGAGCCAAGGGGAAAATAAGATAAAAAATACAACTCAAGAGAGGGAAGGGGACGCCACAGACACAGAAAAGAGGGAGGGGCCCAGGCTAGAGGGTGGGGAAGAGAAGGGGACGACCCCCCCCAGTAGTGTTTGACCCCCCCAACCCCACCAGGGGGTCACATCTCATCATCATCCAGTCCGTAATCCTCCTCTGGGAAGTCGCCCACGGTCACCGTGTGTGGCTTGACAAAGGCACCATACTTGTCCTGGCACTCAAAGTAGCGTTTGCCGTTCACACTGCAGACGACAAAAAGAGTATCAGAGGTCACAGGGTTGCTCACACGTGCATGCACACACTTACATATACACATTCTCACACACCCCTTCACACATACACAGTCACACTCAGACACACACACGCACACACACACATACACATTCTCACATGTACACACTCACACAAACACACACGTACACACTCACATATATACACATTCTTACACACACCTCCACAATACACACTCACTCAGACACACACACACACACACACACATACACGTTCTCACACACACCTTCACACATACAGGGATGGGCGCCTGAGGGAGTCTGACCTCACCTGCCATCATGCTTCCCCAGCGGTTCATCATAGCGGACGCCAACCCAGTAGCCGGGCTTGAAATCCGTGAGTCCTGCCCACAAGAAGCAGCTCAGTGAGGACCTGGCTGACCAGGGCCACGACCACGGCGGTGCCTGTCTCTCTAGCCTGTTGAGGTTTACAACGTGCTGTCCTCACAAGGACTGCGCTGCAGAGAAGCTGGTGCTGTCACCTCCGGCCAGGCCACCAGGCCCCGCAGGCCCTTCGATCCGCTCTCATCTATCACACGGCTGCCAGACCTGGTCCCTGCCCTATGTGCTCAGCTCCAGTGGGTCCTGCCACCTCCATTCATCACTGCAGACCCCCCCCCATCCCCTATCTCTGTGACTCGCACCAGCTGTCCATGCCTGGGCTGCACCTCCTCTTCCTCCTCCTCCTCCTTCTCTATTAATATTTCCAGTTTCCTAGAAAGCTCAGCTTTCTGAGGCCCGTCCTAATCCCCAGCTGCTTCTGAAATGACCTTGTCTACACACACTTAGATGCTGTTCACACTGTTTTCTCAGCTAGACTGGAAGCTCCTGACTGGCAGGCCCAGGGGCCTTGTTCTTGCACCGCTAGGGTCTGCTTGGCACAGGGCAGATACTGCATGAGTACTGGCTCTTAAGCTGAGGATCCTGAGGCTCTGCCCCTGCCCTGAGCAAGCCCAACTCATTCACCCCGCTGCGCCATGATGCCCACTTAAATGTCCCATGCTGCCTTGGCCCACTGACTCACCCACATACATGACAGTGCCCCGCTTGGTGGGCTGGCCAGCCGCCTGCACCTGGCAGCGGCTCCCCACTGTGATGGCCCGGGCCTGGGCCTGCTCGTCAGCGAGTCGCTGGGCCGCTTCGGCCTCCCGCCGCTTCTGCTCCTCTTCATTGAATTTGCCCATCTTGCTGCGCTTCAGGAAGGAGCGTACGGAGTCTGGAGGCCAGGGGTCAGGGGGGGTCACTGCCCCAAACTTAAACCCCCCGATCCCCAGGCCCCTCCAGCTCCCCCAGGCCATGAGTCTCTTCTCTCCCTCATTTTCTATCCTTCCCATTTATACCTGGGCCCCTTCCTTTCGGTCTCATCCCCCCATTTTCTCATGGCCCCTCCACTCTCCCCAGTGTTCCCCCAACCCCCCCAGCTTTCTTCATGCTCCTGTACCAGTTCTGCTTTCATAGGCTGACTGGGAGAGCTCAAACTTCTCCACCTGGGACAGGTCCTCGTACTCGCCCAGACGGGCCCCACTCCGGTCAATGACCTGTGGGGAGACAGTGACTGAGCCTGGGGGCTCTAGGAAAGGTCCCATCTGTGAGGGTGGCTTCGAACAAAGGTGCCATGAGCATAGCAACATCAGGGGATGAAGTCCAGGAGGGATTTCAGGCCAGAAATGTGAGGGAGGTCAGCAAGGGCAGCCATAAACACACAGTAAGAACGGCTGTCATGCAGGAAATCCCAAGCCTCAGAGGCAGAAGATCTGCTTCAGGGCCCAGCCCTATCCCTAACTACCTGTAGGCCTCTGGACAAGTTGCCTCTTCCTCTATTTCCCATATAAAATGAGGGACTGCGCTGACAGCTCTATCACCCTAGGATCTTAAGAGGAGTGACCTGGAAGAGGGCAGGGCTTGGAAGAGCTGAACCATGAAGGCTGATGGGGATTTCACAGCCCAGGGTGACAGGGCCACGTACGGCAGTGGGCCCAAGGACTGGGAGGAGGGGCGGGGCAGGGGGAACATCTCTCACATGGATCCTGCAGCCATCGTCCACTGGGTAGGAGCCCAAGAGAGCATCGTCCTGGTCAAGTTTCATGCAGAAGCGGTCATCGGCACTGTAGAGCTCCAGGTCCATGCAGGAGGCCGGGCTCCCCACCACCAGCTCCAGCTTACACTGAGGGATGGGGACTCACAGTGAATCATGGCAGGTCAGAGCTTGGAGCAACCTTAGAGGATCTGACTCCACAATGCATTTTACAGGTGAGGAAAGTCTTGCTCAGGGTCAAACAGCTGATAAATCAGGAGGTGCGCCCCAAGCCCAGGCCCTCTGACTATGCCCCGCACATCCTGTGCAGCTTGCTTACATGAGGGAAACCAGGGAAGGCGCACCTTACATACCTGTGGCAGGGACAGGGTCTCCCAGATATACCTTCTAAGGCTGCTCACCCCGAGTTGGACCTCGCGTCCTCTTCCACACTCGGCCCTTCCCTCTATCCCCAGACTTGTCCTCTCCTCTCCAGGCCCCATCCTCCAGTCCATAGGTCTCACCCCCTCAGAGCTCTGCGCCTCGAGCCTCCCACCATCTCAGCTGAGAAATTTGTTTCATAAAAAAACTGAGGCCCTTCTCTGAAAGCTCCCCCTACACCACCCTGGTCTTCCTTCCTTCACCATCTCCTTCGCTCTATCTCAAGGCCAGTCAAGGAGTATTTATTAGGCACTCACTATGGCCTGGGCACAAGACATAGGCAGGATTAACTGGAGATAAGCAACAGGGGGAGGGGCTGGGAAAGGCCTCCAGCAGAAGGGGGGATTTGAGGAAGCTGGGAAGCAGAGATGAGGGTTGAGAGTGCTTCAGGGAGGGGGAACAGCCAGGGAAAATGCCTGGAGGCTGGAGATGGTGGGTCTTGTTCCAGAAATAGTCAAGAGGGCCGGTGTCACGGGATTCCACAGTAAGGTGTAAGAAGATTGGAAAGGCCGGGGTACCAGGTTCTCTGAAGGGCTTTGAACAGTAGACAGGATTTTCTTTACACAGGGTGTCCCAAAAGCCTTAGTGCAGTTTCAAGTTATTAAAGCTTACAATTGTACTATGCCTTCTGGGCCACCCTGCATTAAGTTTGGAGGTAACAGGGCGCCACGGTGCTGTCTGCTATCCCTTCTATGATCTCTCTACTCTCCACTCTCTAATCTTCACCTCTGACCTTCCTATGGGCTCCTTCCCTGCTGCCTTGACATGACCCTATCCCCCGCCTCCTTAATTCTCCTGGAGAAGGGCCTCCCCCTCCTCTCCTCTCACTTAGTTACGTCAGCCCTCTGCTATCTGGCTTTACTTCTCTCTGAAGTCACCGGTGACTCCTTCATCGCCAAAAGGAAGGGCCTTCTCTCAGTTCTCAGCCTTCTTGACCGCTCTCCACTCTGGTCAAGGGCTGCTGCCTGTCTGTCTTTCTCTGCTCCTCAATGCCCGCCTTCGTACCAGGCAACTCCCTCATGCACGACAGTGACCCTTCCTCTCTGTCTCTAGTTACTGCCTCCCCATGACCTGCTCCCCGTCCCCTTAGCTGCCCACAGAGATGGGTGGGCATTCCCACCCACAAGTGCTCCCTATATGCTTTGTTCTACTTCCCCTTCTGCCTTGCAGCCCAAAGCCCTGCATCCTTCTGGCCCTGTGTTCTCTCCAGGCCATCCTCTCTTCCTGAGCATGACCCCTTGAATTTGGTGAACCACCTTAGCTCTATATTGTCCTCTTCTCTTCAGCCCCTCGCCTCCTTATCCTATTGAAGACCTTGCCCTGTCCAACCCAAACCCTGGCTCACTCACTGCTATCACTCCAGCTTCCATGAGGCTACACATTTCCGTTAGAGAATCTCCACCGATCCCTCACTGCTGCCAGGAAATCCATTTACCCTTCCCTGACTAACTGAGCCCTGCTCAAACCTCTGCTCTCATTCTCCCAGCCAAGAACCCTGCTGTTCCACGTGAGCTCCATCCTCCTCATCCCTCATCACTTTCACTCAACCCTTTTACCTGTCTCACTTCAAGAGGTGGCCTTAATCTTCAATAAAGCTCACCCCTCGAAATGCAGAAGCAATCCCATTCTATCTCATCTGGCAGGCAGCTCCACCTCTATCATCCCTACTCTCTCACTTAGCTTCAGCCTCTCCCTGTCCCCTGGCTGATTCCCACGAACATCCTCAAAAAACCCTCACTTGGTCCTTCCATTCCCACCAGCTCTTGTCCCATATCTCGCTTCCCTTCTGGGACTAAATTTGAGAAGGTATCTACAATAAACTTACTTCCTTTCTTCTCACTGTCTTCTTAACCCTCTTAAAATCCAGCTTCTGACCTTATCATTCCACAGAAAACTGCTCTCCAAAGTGACCAATAATCTGTTAAGCCGCAAATCCAATGGTCTTTTCTCAATCTCATTCTCCCTGACCTCTCTGACATGGGATCACCCCGTCCACCCTCTCTAGGTTTTCAGGATACCCCCCTCTCTCTCCTGGTTCTCTTCCTCCTTCTCTTTGCTGGATCCTCCTTCAGATCACACCCTCTGACCACCAGATCCCTCAGGGCTCTGTCCTGCGCCCTCTTCTCTTTTCCCTCTAGACTACTTCACTTGGTGATCTCATCAGTTTCCATGGACTTAATTTCCATCTCTATGTTGATGATTCTTAGATCTACCTTTCCTGTCCTGACCTCTCTGCTGACTCTCAATCCTAAATCACCAGCTGCCTTTCAGACATCTCAAAGTGGATGTCCACTAGACATTTGAAACTCAACATGTCCAAAAAAGACCCTATCATCTTTCCCCCTAAACCCTCCACTTCGGCTACCTTCCCTATTACTGCAGTAGGCAAAACCCCCTCCTGGTCCCCTAGGCTGCCAACCTGGCTTCCTCACGCTCTCTCATCCCCCCACATCCAAGCTGTTGCCGAAGCCTGGCAATGGCACCTCTGCAGCACCTCTCATATGCCCCTTTCTCTCCTCAGGCATTGGCCCCACCCTGGTGTGGGCCCTGGTCACCTCATGCTTGGACTACTGCAATTGCTGCTGGCGGGTCTGCCTGCCTCAAGTTTCTCTCCACTTCAATCTGTCCTCCACACAGCCACCAAAGTGATTTTCCTAAAGCACAAATACTTCCATGTCAGGACCCCCGCACCCATAATGAATTGCAATGGTTCCCTATGGCCTCTAGGATCAAAAGCAAAATGCTATTTGACATCCAAAGCCCTTCATAACCACTCACCTCCTACCCTTTTCAGTCTTCTTACATCTTGCTCCCCCTACACGTATTTTCGATCCAGTGACTCCGGCCTCTCGGCTGTTCCTCGAACAAGACCCTCCATCTCTCAGCTCTGTGCAGTCCCTCTGGCCCATACCTGGAACACTCTCCCTCCTCCACCCCAACTACCCACCTTCCTGGCTTCCTTTAAGTCCCAGTTAAAACCCCACCTTCTACAGGAAGCCTTCCCACCCCGTCTTCTCAGTGCCTTCTCTCTGCTAATTAATTCCTATTTATCCTGTACACAGCTGCTGGCTTGTTGTCTCCCCCTTTGGAGTGGAAGCTCCTCGAGGGCTGGAACCGTATTCTGCCTCTCTGTACTCCCAGCACCAACCAGAGAGCGGTTGGTGTTGTTCAAATGTTTATTGACTGACGTTAGCCCCCAGACCCCTCTCATCCTCTACCCCACCCAAGAGGCCCCGCCCCCTCTTTAGCCCCCACCTTCCCTTCCCAGGCCCCGCCCCATTTCATCTCCCCTTCCCCAGACTCCACCCCTCCCAGCTCCCCTTCCTCAGGCCCCGCCCCCTAGTCCTCTCCCGGGTCCGCACCTTGAACTCAGCCAGCGTGAGGCCCCGGTTGTACCGCTTCTCCGAGCGGAAGCTGTTGAGGGAGCTGCTGATGAACACGGTGACCGTGGGCGCAGACACCCCGGCCAGATCCATGCTTGCGGAGGGCCCCCGGCCCCGGGTGCTCTTTCCCGGCCGCTGCCTCCTCGCTCCCTTCAGGCCTGGCCTTCCGAAACCGCCGTCGCTGCTGCCACTGCTACAGACACAGCCACCGCTTCTGGAAGCTTCGCCCCGCCCCTTGCACTCCTCCGCTAGCCAATCACCGCCTTGAACCCGTTCATTCGGACCAATCGGCACCTGACTCTTTCCTCAGGAGACCGCCTCCTCACGAGATCGTCCCTCCTTCCGCAGATGGTGAAGCTCATCCGAGTCCTCCGACGAGACTCAGCCAATCGGCCATCCTCTTGCTGGAGCAGCAGAACCCTGATAACCAATGGGAATACGGTATTCGGCTAGGGCCCAGGCGGGCTGAAGTCGGTGAGAGGGACCTGCCAAGAGCCTGCCCCCGCAGCCCCAGGAAGCATGCGCGGCGCGTGCCTGCTCCGCTATGGCGCGGGGTGGAGCATATGGCGGTGAACGGCGCGCCTTCCATTCATCTCCCCAGCCCGGGCGGAGCCGGGGTGGTCCCCTTGGGGCTGGTCCCCGCCCCGAGGGGAGGGGCGGGCAGCACCCAACAACTGCCTAGACTTTAGGGGATTCCCATGGCCCCTTTCGGCCGGACACACACCCCGTGCCCCCCCGGGCCCATCAGGACGCTTCAGTTTTCCATTTTGTTCGATGACAAGGCTGGAGATGACCTCAATAGTTACTTTATTTTCTTTCTCCTGGGTCCTTCGGCACGGGGTGTGTCCAGATTTCCCCGAGATGGGGGGGAGAGGAATCCTCTCAACTGAGGCAGCCTGATCCCACGCCAGAACACGGGTTCCCCAGAGGTGGAGACAGACAGGGGACACCATCCCACCATCCACATATTTGGGGCCCCACGGCGAGACTATTTCCCACCACGCGGCACCGTCCTGATGGGTGACCACGGTCAAGAAGGTCCCGAGCAGAGCAGGCAGCCGTAGGCCCTCAGTTTCCCCATCTGTAAAATGGGGGAGTTGGGCTAGATGACCTCCCAGGCAGCTCCCACGTGTATGTTGGCCCCGCCCCCAGAGGTGGGGGTGGGGCTTCGCTGTGGACCTTCCCGCGACCCGTAGCTGCGCCCGCGCAGTAGAGCCCAGGTGTCTGACGGCTTGCCATCGCCATGGAACCTGATGGGACTTACGAGCCGGGTTTCGTGGGAATCCGCTTCTGCCAGGAATGGTAAGCTCAGGGCCTGGGGCCGGGGCTGGGGCTAGGGGCTGGGGCTAGGGGCTGGGGGTGAGGGGACCAGATCCGGGATCAGATCGGGGTGGAGGGGGGTAGACCGGGCACAAATAGACCAGGGCCTGGGGTGACTTTTGACCTCCGACCTCCCACCCCCAGTAACAACATGCTGTACCCCAAGGAGGACAAGGAGAACCGCATCCTTCTCTACGCGGTGAGACCCCAGCCCACCAAGCGCCCCCCCTACATGTGCACTTTGACCTCGGTACCTCCCCCTAGCTGGTCACCGCGATCCGGCCATCCTCTCCCGACCCCTAGACCCAGATACTGATCCTGAATCCTTTCTCCTCGCTCGCCCCCTTCCCCCGTATTCAGGGCAGTCCCTCCCCCTCCCCCCAACTGGGGACACCCAGGGCGGCCCCCCTACTCTGGGGCACTATTGGCAGCCCCCTCCTTTCCCCCCTACCGGGGGCACTCTGGGCGGCCCCTCCTTCCCCCCAACCGGGGGCACTCAGGGCAGCCCCCAACCCCTTCCCTACAGTGTCGCAACTGTGACTACCAGCAGGAAGCCGACAACAGCTGCATCTACGTGAACAAGATCACCCACGAGGTGGAGTAAGTCAAAGGGCTGGAGCATGGGGAGGGGGGTCACCCTGGGCCTGGCCTCAGTTTCCCCCAGGATCCTCCTTTGTCTCTCCCATGCACAGCGAGCTGACCCAGATCATCGCGGACGTGTCGCAGGACCCGACCCTTCCCAGGACCGAGGACCACCCGTGCCAGAAGTGAGTACCCCTGGGCTGGAGGGGCCAGGCCTGGGGGGAGGGGAGGGGGCGGCCCAGGCCTGGCCCCACCTGCCGTGTCTTTCCGCAGGTGTGGCCACAAGGAGGCAGTGTTCTTCCAGTCCCACAGCGCCCGGGCCGAGGTAAGGGGGGACCTCTCCCCAGCCTTAGGGGAGGGCAAAGGGCAGTGCTCCTGGAGGGGCCGCTCCCCTGACTATGCTGGCCTTCCCGCCCCTCCCCCAGGACGCCATGAGGCTCTACTACGTGTGCACCGCTCCCCACTGCGGCCACCGCTGGACAGAGTGACCCGAGCTCCCCGCCGCCGCCGCACACAGTTTCTTAATAAAACGTTTTATTTTTGGCATCCAGGCCGCTCTTTGGGGCGGGGGATGGGGAGGAGGGGGTCTTCACTCAGGAGTAGGGGACGGCCAGGGACGAGGGCCGGCCCGGGTGTAGGGCCCGATGCTGAACGTAGTCCTCGGTCCGGGCACTGGTGTAGCCACAGTCCTCGCAGACGTGCAGCTTCTCCCGGCGCTCCCGGTAGCCGTAGCGCGGAGGCTGCCCGTGGATCTTCCCCAGGTGGGATTCGAGCGAGCAGCGCTGGGTGAAGGCTTTGCCGCAGGCTGGGCAGCGGAAGGGCCGGATTCCTGGGGGCGTGTAAGGAGAGGCTGTTAATGGGGCGGGACAAGGACGCCCAGCCTGCCTCCCGGGCCCGACGTAGCCGCCCCTCACCAGTGTGGGTCCTCATGTGCCGCTTGAGGTCGAAGGCATCGTGAAAACCTTTGGTGCAGCAGCTGCAAATGTGGCGCCGGGCAGGGTTGTGACATTTGAGGTGGCGGGTTAGCATGCGCTGAAGTGGGAAAACCTTAGGGCAGAGGGGGCAGCTCAACGCCCCAGGGCCCTGCCCTGCTGCAGGACCCTGCTCATCCTGGGGCAGAGAAGGAAGAGCCTGCTCAGACCTGGGTCAGGCCGCCCCCCCCGCCCCCCCCCCCCCGCCCAGACTGTTGGAGTTGCCCTATGAGCTGGGGGCTCTCACCGGTGCTTGGGACTCTCCGCTGTTGGGTGGCAAACAGGCTGCCATGCTTCTGCAGGTTTCTCCGCCTAGGGACCCCACATTGGTGCTTCCTTGATGAACCAGCCCTTTGTCCAGGCTGCAGTCTGAAAGAGAATCTTGTCCCAAGCCGTCCTCTCATACCCTGCAGCCCAGGGAATGTGGGATGTGGGAATCACTGGCATGTGCCCCTGTACCCCGAGACTTCTGACAGTGGGAAAGGATCTAGGTTGTTTGCCATGCCACACTCTCCTTTAGAGCCTCTCTCCTAGGCAGTGGATAGAGCACTACAGCTCTGTCCCTAGGGAAATCACTTCATCTCTGCCTCAGTTTCCTTAACTGCCAAATGGGGGTCATAATAGCACCTACCTTCAGGGTAGTTGCAAAAATCAAATATTTGTAAAGCACTTAGCAAAGTGCCTGGCACATAGTAGGTGCTTAATAAATGCTTGTTCCCCCCTTTCCCAGTGTGGACGCCCTCCACTGATAACCCAGCACCCCTAGTGCATGTGGCTGGAGGGCACTTTCCCTTGATCACATCCACATACGTCCTTCTCAGCACATCTGGCTCCTCCCTGCAGGTGTCGGGGCAGTTGGGGAAGCTGTTACCTGGAATATAGGCATCTCCCCGGTGCTGGTCAGTAATGTGGCCCCAGTCTCGGGGCTGGGGCCGGCAGCTCCTCACCAGAAAGGATCGAGGCATGTCCTGTGAGAGGTGGGGAAAAGCAGGGAGCCGTTGTTGCTACTGCCCAAGCTGGGAGACCTGAAGTCTGGTGGCTGTGTGCTCTCCAATGACCCCCCTGCTCTGCCCACCTGCTTCTAGGAAAGGGTGGATGGGACCTAGACCTCCTCATCCTTGTTATGCAAATCTGGGATGGGCCTCAGCCAACAGAGCCCTGGTTGGGCTCCAGTTACCTCAGCCCCCTCCCTCCAACGCCAACAGCATATTTGCCATTTCTCTGGGCAAACAATCTAATTTATAATAGGAAGGTGGATGCTAGACCCTAGGGTGAGGGAAGTCAAGACATTTCCCAGAGGCCTCTGCAGGAAAGCCTTGGCTACATGTGGAGGAGTTAGATGGGGAGGGCTGAGCGCATTAAAGGATCATACTGCCCACTCCCTAAATTGTCGATGGCTCAGGGAGGGGTGGGAGGGGTGTCTGTTTGCCAGTCAAATCAGCCCCCGCACAGTGTCCAACGGCCCCTGAGGAAGCTGTCTCTGGAGAGAGGTTATTCAAATCACTGCAGCTGTCTCCAAGTGGGGTGAAGGGGGGAGTGCTCTGATTTTCTAGCTCCAGGTGGGGCCTGGGATTGAGTTTTGGAGAAAACACATCTAGACTTCTAAAATCACTCGGGGTCATCTCCCATCACCCAGAAATTCGTGTAAGGCTGGAGACCTCCATCAGTCTCCCAGGGAGCCACACCCATAGGGTGAGCGCCTTTCTCAAAAACAATCTGGAAGGAAAAAAGGAAAACAATGCCCTTCAAGGCTTCTCTAGATGATCCAAAGACCTTTTGGCTCAACTGAAGATCAGGTCACAGCTAGAGCTGGAAGGGACCACCAGAGGTCATCCATTCCAACCCTTCTTCATTCTGTAGGTGGGAAAACAGGCTCAGGGCAGCCTAATGACTTTCCCAGGGTCATAACAGCTAGTTAAGTGGCTGAGGAAGAATTGGGACCCAGATCTTCCTGCCCACATTCCATGCTCTATCTCCTTACCCTCTTCATCCTAATGGTTTGGGGGTTTTTTGAACATCAAATGTACAAGTTTCCAGGCTATGGGGGAAAAGGATCAACAAGCCCATATGAAGATGTGGCTGCTGAAGCCTCATTAATAGAGTGTCTGAACAAGGCAGGCAAGGATGGGCCTCCTCCCCTCCAGGGTGGCCACATCCGGGGTCTCCTGTCCAGGGCAGAGGGATGCTGGCCAACGGGAAGCTTGGGGAGGGGCCTCTGAACCACGCCCAAGAAAGGATGCCGTGAAGAGAGAAGACATGGGACATAGGACCACTGTCCTCCAGGACAGGGCCGAGGCTCCACTTGGCCCCCAGGGGCAGAACTGGAACTGACGGACAGTCAGTGGAAGTTACGGTGACAGATCTGGGCTTGTTATATACAAGGGACTTCCAACCATCTGAGCCGTCACAGTGGAACAGGCTGCCTCGATGAGGGAGTGACCTCCCCGCCCCTGCAGCAATCAAGAAAAGGCTGGCTGGCCATTTGGGACAGGCGCTGGGGGTGGAAGGGAGAAGCCGGAAGAACAGACCGTCTAAGGTGTTTGCTAAGTCTGAGGGGGAAGAGAAGAGCCTGAGGGAAAGGCCCCCTCTGCCCAAAGGAGCTGCCCTCGGATGAGAGAGACCGGGGAGTTGGGGGGTGGGGATGAGGCACCAGGAGCCACTCACATCAAAGTCGTTTATTTTCAAAAAAATAGACCTTTTCAGAAAAGCAGTAGAGCAGAGAAGGAAGAGGTTGTCATGTCAGTGTTGTGGCTTATGGCTTTTGACTCCCCAGAAGGGATGGCGGTGTTAAAGGAGGCTCAGGCCCTGCTCCCCTGGTCTGCCCTCATCTCCCTGCCACCCGCCTTTCTTCGAACAGCCTGCACCAACAGCTCTGAGTAGTGTTCCAACAGGGCTCGGACCTCTGAGCTGGGCAAGCACCACAGCAGAGGGGACGGGAGGCCTGGGGCTGGGGCCAGGCCCTGAGCTGGGGAAGGGACTGGAGACAAGCATGGGGATGAGAGTTGGGCCACCTCTTCCCCCCCTAGCCAGGCCACCGCCTCCAGCTGGCCCTGTATCCACCGGAAGGTCGATGACAATTCTGATCGGGCTTGCTGCTGTTCCCCACTCACCTGGGGCCTGGAAACCACCTGGGAGGAGAGAAAGGAGGTGATATCAGGCAGCCAGCTCTCTCGGCCAGCGGGGCCTCTGGCCCAGGGCCGTGGCACCCAGGCTTGGGGTCAGACAGCTGTCATCAGGGAGAATCCCCAGAGAACAAAGGGCAGAAGGAGAGGTGGACCACTCGTTGAGTGGAGGGCCAGGATCTCCACCCCCTCCCCTCAGCAGCCCCAGGCCTGACCCACAGCACTCCCAGCCCTTACCAGGTTGTAAAGGTTCAAGGCCTCCTGAAAGCTGCGCCTCAGCTTTAGGGTGATACATTCCACGTTGCTCATGCTGAGCTGGGGGACTGAGAGAGGATAAGCCCCATCAGCAAAAGGAGACTCCCCAAAGCCAGCAGGCCCAGGACAGAGAGGGGATGATCTCCAGGGGGAGGAGCTGAGCTGGGCTCATGGAGGCTGGCAGCACGGTGGATGCTGAAACTCTCCATCCTCAGGATGGATGTGAGGGCACAGGGCAAGTGACAAGAGGGTCATGGGGTATTTTGAGTACCAATAGTGATGGGGAGGGGGCCAACAATGACAGTGTATGTGGCTGAAGGGGTAAAGATAACTATGAGGTGACAGTGCCAGGGCCTATGGGGCAGCCCTATACAGGAATGCCTCTGCTCTAAGTGGGACAGAGAGAGTACAATCCTCTGCACCTGTGAGGTGGAAACCCTAAGCCTGGGCTGGGGGGCTGGGGGGAAGGGCCCCTCCTGAGTCCCTGAGGCAGAGACACTCACCAGGGAGAGGTTCCAAGAGGGAGGCTTCAGAACTGATGCCCCTGGGCCCCAGAGATTCTTTGGTGGCCGGGCCCTTGGTGCGGGCCTGAGCTGGTAGCTCAGACCCCGACAGTTTCTGGAGGAATCCGGGTTCAGAGAGGCCCATGGCCTTCACCTCAGGAGTGTCACTGGCCAGGGGTGCTGCTGGGGCAGTTTCCACAGTGGCCAGAGAGCCCTGAGTCCAGCCTCTTTCTAGGCCTGTCTCAGGAAGCTTACAGGCTGGGGTAGGGGGTGATGATCGGGGAGGCATCAGGAGCTGGTCACAGACATTGGGCAGGTCCAGCCTCAGGCTGGCTCGGGCTTCATGATTACCCCAGAGGGGCAGGCCCTGGCCCCCCTCCTTGCTGTTCAGCTCACTGGTGCTGCCTGGCAGACCATCTTGCCCCACTGTTGAGAGTTCTTCCATTGACAGAGGCTTCCTTAAGCCATACAAGGATTGGGGGTACTTTCCCAGGGCAGGGGTAAGGTTTTCTCCAAGAGATACACTTCGGGACATCTTTGCACGGGAATTCCTAGCAGCCTCCACGCAGGAGCGGGTGGGGAGTTCTCGGCTGCCCTGGGCCAGGGCAGAGGGCAGTCGAGGCAACTGCTCTGGTACCCTTTCCCTCTCTTTCTCCAGGGGGAGGCCCGGGAAAGCCTCAAGGGGTGGGCCTGGCACTATGCCAGTGATGCCAGAGCCTAGACAGAAAACAAAGAGACATATTACTCCTTCAGCCATCACTGAGCAAAGGAGGGGTGACTCCTTGGCCAGACCCCAACAGCTTCAGGCTCAACAGGGCTTGATGTCTGGGTCCTACAGGGGGAGCCACTCAGCAGCTACAGTGGGGTCAGCACCCTTCTTGTCCTGGTTCAGAGGGTTCCCAGATGACTGATGCCTAGGAAGAGCTTTGTCTAAAAGGTACTAGGCCTTAGGGTGCTGGGAGGGTGGGGAGAACACAGGAAGGCCTTACCCAACAGGAGCAGGGCCTTAGGACAGGGCAGGAAAAAGGGCACAGTGGCCAAAGGGTCAGTCTTACTCAGCGGGCACCAGGATGCAGGCGCTGGGGTCTCTGTGCTCTCAGCTGTCTTCTCACCAAGGAGTCCCTTCAAGCCCAAGCCGTCACACAGTTATCCAGAAAAAGCAAGGAGCCACCCAGCCTGCCCCTCCCTGTCCCCAGTTCCCGTCGGGCCAGTAAGGCAGCCACACTCACATCAGAGGCATCTGCAGTGCCGTGGCTCCCGTCAGCCCTCTGGGCCACGGCCTCCAGCGGCTTCACTAACTGAAGGGGCAGTGTCGGTGGGAAGCTGTGTGCAAACCTGGAGGGGAAACAGGTGCATCAAGTAGGATGAGCGTGGTGGGACAAGGAAGGGAGCTGCAGTCTGATGACGAAGGCATGGGCCCCACCCTCAGCCAGGCTCGCAGTGGGTGACTGGGGAGACCAACAACAGTGACATCAAGCCTGCACACGATGCCAGCTGAGGCCCTGAGGGCAGGGCGCTCTCCAGAGGAACACACAACTCTGGGCTGAGAGGGCCTGGGCTCTGCATACCTCCCCACATCAGCCCGCGAGCACAGGGCCCCAGCGTCTAGACTAGAGAGGAGGAAGCCAGTTCCCTCAAGGGGGTAAGTGCTCAGGACCCCAAGCCACAGACACGGACAGGGAACTTTCAACAAGAGGAAAAAGCAGGCTCTTCCCACTTCTTGAAGGGGATGGGCCCCAGAGGGGGGATGGGGTGGTGGAGAGCCCATCCCAGGAGCCATTGCACACAGCGCCACAGGCTGATGGGGGCTCACACAGAGATGCAAAGGGGACTTCCACAAAGTCATGGGTCTAGCAAAGACTTTTCTAAGGGGAAACATCACAGAGGATCTGGCAGGGGGAGGGGTTGGGATGAGGGAAGCTCTAAGGGAATGGAGAGGGGCACAGGCTTGGGGGATGGGGAAGGGGTGGAAGAATCACCATGGGATTGGACAGGCCTCCATCCTGGGCCACACAGCAGTGGACTCCCAGAGGGGAAGGTCTGCAGGTCTGCCCTCAGTCAGCCCAGGGACCAGAGCACTGGGGAGCTGGACTCATGGCAGGCTCCCTCCCTAGCCATGGCCACATCCTCTCCTTCACCTTTTTCCTCTCCCTCCCACTCTCTTCCCTACCTGGGACTTTTCTGGAATCGAGAAAGAAACTGGGCAGAAATGCTCAGGCGAGGGTTGAAGAAGAAGTGTTTCTCAGACTCTGAATCCACCTCAGGGGGCTCCACATCCTTCAGGGAACCATTAAACAGTTCTGGGTGGGCGAAAACAGCATTTTCAACTTGAGCAACTGTCCGGCTCTGCAGGAAGAGGGCCGCGGGGGGTGTTACCAGAGACATCCCCAAAAAAGTAGCTAAATGAGGCCCCAGACAGAAAAGACTCATCTCTGCAGGTGGGGAACAGAAAAGGGGATCTTGGAGGAGCCCTTGCAATGAGGCCCGGCCACGTTGGGTTCTAGGCCCGTGGGGTCAAACTCCAATAGAAACATCTGCACACTGACCTAGGAAACCACAAATTCTGATTCTCTCTGTCTTATTTTTATTTACTTTATTAAACTACGCTGCTTGAAGCCCTGGGCCGGGCCATGGACACCTCGCCAAGACAAGCTGCTGAGCAGCTGCTGGTCTGAATTGGCAGAAAGTGTGTGCACACCTGGGAGTTCACTGTAGCGACGCCGCTTTCAGGGAGTGAACCAAGCCCATCCCCTTCAGAGTCTGGGAGGACAACGGGGAAGGGTGGCACTCAGAAGCCTCTCTCACTTTACTGGTGTGGGATAAATTCAGAATAAAAAAGATAAAGGCTAGGGAGGAAATCAGCAGGGAAAAGGGAAGGCAGAGAATAATCAGCAAAAGCAATGGCACAAGCCAACGCCCAGCACAGGGAAGGAAGTGTCAGACTAGGGGAGATAGTGAGGACAACAGCCCGGCTGAACCAGGACAGTGAGGACAGCAGCCCGGCTGAACCAGGAGAGAGTGAGGACAGCAGCCCAGCTGAACCAGGACAGTGAGGACAGCAGCCCGGCTAAACCAGGAGAGAGTGAGGACAGCAGCCCGGCTGAACCAGGACAGTGAGGACAGCAGCCCGGCTGAACCAGGACAGTGAGGACAGCAGTCCGGCTGAACCAGGAGAGAGAGTGAGGACAGCAGCCTGGCTGAACCAGGAGAGAGAGTGAGGACAGCAGCCCGGCTGAACCAGGAGAGAGAGTGAGGACAGCAGCCCAGCTGAACCAGGGGCTCCACTTTGCAGTAACTCAGAGGGAGTTTATTTTTTAGGGGGGAAGTACAGCCTTGTTTCCAGAAGAATCCAACCAGGTCCCCAGTGTTAACAGCCCTCCCACTCTCCCACACTGACAGGCCCAGCATTCCCCGGTACTCAGAGGCATTTCACTCCACTAGCACTGGGGAATCTAGCAGGAAGCAAGGAGCAGACCAAAGAACATCCCCCACAGAACCTGACAGTCAATCAATTGGCAAGCACTTCCAAAGTGATTACTACGTGCCAGGCCCTCCCCCTCCCTCTCCCTCCCAAGATGGAAGAGGTCCAGATTCTGTTCCCCACCCACAGAGAGCAGCAGCTCCTGGTCCTCCAGGTGTGAGGAGGTCAGGACTGACACACCCTGTGCAGTCCAAAAGCCTTACCTTCAGGATGGGCATCAGTGAGGGTTTCAAAATGGTGTCTAAGAAACTTCTCCTGCTCTGGTGTCTGCGGCAAAGAGCTGCTGGGGGGCATGGGCCCCTCGGATCTGACGAGCTCCACTTCCGAAGCACTCTCTGTGTTCCAGGACAGCACAACAGGAACAAGAAAGGAGAGCCAGGCCTCGTAGAGCAAAGGAATGCCTCCCAGCACCCTGCCCCAAGCCAAAGAGGATGGGACTCACCTAGGACTAGTGGGATCAGCTCTAAGGGGCTCTCCTCTGCCTTGGGTTGGGTGGGGGAGGAGTGAATGGCTTTGAAGCCACCTTCCAAGTCAACAGTCTCAACTTCCGTTTCAGCCTCGGACTCCAGTGACTCCCCACCTGCTGGGAACAGGCCCAGGGGACTCTCACTAGGTATGCCCAGTCACCCTGCGGCCAGCATCACCATATCCTGAGTTGGGCCAGGTAGATAAGCTCTGGAAGCCCCCAGAGCAGTCCAGTCATCGCAGCAGGAGGGAAGAGGCAGAAAGCACTCACTCACAGGGCACTGCCAGGCTGGGAAGGGCCCTGAATAACCAAATGAAAAGCCTGAAGGAAGCTAATGCCAAATTATGAGCAGAGCGACAGACTTTAGCCAGCCAAATGAGGAAGAAGCACCCCTACAAAGAACAGGCTTTGCCCCAGGAGGCAGGGAGCCCACCCCAACAAGGCAGAGGCAGGTCCTCTTCCACTCGACATCTATGCATTCTGTTGGGGAAGGGGCACAAAGCCCAGAGAAGACCCAGTCAGAGCCCAGGAGCCCCAGGAGCCCCTTCTACCCCACAGAGGGGGCTGTCTGCCTCAAGCCTACCTTCGGGCTGGTGCTCCGGGGCCCGGCTGTCCAGATCCCCAGTCAGAAGTGAGTTGACTCGAAGAAAACCATTGCCCCGCTGGCAGGGGGAGATGTCCACTTCTTTTAGATGGTACTCACTTGAAAGCAGGGAGAAAACCCAAGGGAGAGGCTATCACTGACGGCACCCCCACTGACCTTTCTTGCTCCTAGGGACAATCAGAAGTGCCCCAGATGGATGTCTACCTCAGGCTAGAGGGCTTTCCCTGACGTGAGCATAAACCTTCAAGAACAGAGATTGTTCACCTGGGTCTCCATGCCCCCACTGCAAGCACAGAGCCCAGGATGTACTTGGCACTTTCTCAAAGCTCACTGGGTAATCTCCCAAAGGGGCCGCCAACCTCCTGGGTCCTGGGAAACACCTCCTTGGGCTGGCCACAAGGATCCAGGAAAGGAGGCTGGACGAGGAGGCAGAAATGCTGAGGCTTCAATCCTGTATCTATGTTTATACTGGCTGACTGTGAGACCACCAGGGAGTCACTGCACTTCTCAAATTCTCTTTTCAAAACAGGGATTATTATCCCCATTGTTTGAGAAAAGTGCTTTGTGAACTCTTGTGTGCCCGAGTGGCGGGGATGTGAATCAAAGTGGGAGAAGCAGATTCTCTCTCTAGCCCTCAGAGAAGGAAACAGGCCCAGAGAGAGATTCGCGTGCAGCACACGTGGAAGGTGTTCACTCCTTGCCCGTCACCCTCTGCTCTGAGGCTCAGGCTGCCCTTCCAGATCTCATCCCCCCAGAGCCATCCTCCTATCCAGAAGCCCACGGGTCCAGCTGACAAAGCCCACCCCCTCCATCCTCAAAGGACCCACCAACAGAAGTAGTAGTTATTGCCAGAAGAAAAGGCACACCTGTCCGGGATGGCCTCTGGCTCCAGGGTGTAAATGATGATGTCACTCGCCTTAGAAGACCCCAGATCCAATTGGAGGAAGTCCGGACACCGGAAACCACTCTCTGTCTGGCTTCGGTCCTCTTGGCCCTCTGTCTGAAGGAAGACAGAAGCTCATGGTCTGAGGGCAGGCCCAGCCAGGCCTGACTTCCATGCAGGTCAGCTGGTGAGAAGAGAGCAGGCTACCCTAGTGTGATCACCAAAGCCTGTGTCTGAGTCTGCCTAGGAAACCCAGAGTTGGGGTACTGACCTCAGTGAGCAGCTGGGCCAGACTCTTGGGCTCCACCTTCTCTAGGCCACAGTCATCCAGCATGTCAGGGTTCACGGGGCTGAAATAGTAGTTCAGGTCCCGGGCATCCAAAATGGTCTTGATGGGCTCTCTGTCAGCCCGTTCAGCCCAGCGGCCATGAGGCTGGTAGCTCCGCTTGGCATGGAACGTGGCCCCGTCCACGTCATCATCCCCCAGCTACAAAGACAAAGTAACAGCCAGCTGTGCCCCTGCCCGCCAACTGTTCAGCTACTCATTTCCCAGCAGAATGCTCAAGGGCCTCTACCTGGGGGAAGGACAAGAGCCAGTGGTGGGGAACCCTGGCTGGCCAGGCCTCCTCCTCAGTCCTGCTGACCAGTGGCTGGGCATGCCACCAGAGCAGCTAAGCCTCTTTGATTATGCAACAGATACCTATGAAGCACTAACTCTGTTCAAGGCCTCAAGTTGGGTTCTGGCACCATAGCTACCCATGAAGATGACAGTGCTACCCTTTAAAGAGACTTAGCACCCTCTGGACCAACTACGTGGTCCATGGTCCTGAGAGAGGGCACAGGAAGCAGCTCCAAGTGACCTGGGACCCCTGGCACCTCTGCCTAGCAGAAGCAGCAGACCAGGTTTCCTGGGTGATTGAGGGGAGCCAGATCCCCTCCTAAAATCCCCTGGATTTTAGAGGGGCTATGAGCCCCAAGCCAGGAAACAGCCAGCAAAGAAGTGAGGGCCTCAGAAACAAGGCAAGGCCTTCACTTGATCATACTGCCCCTAGGCCTGGAGCTGCCCCTCCCAAGCCAAACCAGCACTCACCAGCCGCTTTGCCCAGAGAGGAAGCTTGCCATTTGTCAGCAGGCACCGGGGATCTACAAAGCCAAAGGGTTCAAGGTCAGGAGGAACATCCTCTCCCCATGTCTCTAGCCCTGGGGCTAGAGGAGGGAAAGGAGTTACAATAGCAGGGGCTCACTGTCCTCAACAGCTACCCAGACCTGACCCCAACTACCTAATGAGAAAAAGGGAACCCCCCACCCAAGCACAAAGGAGCTCAGGGGTCTCTTACCCCCAAGGGACAAGGGACGGAACAACTTCCCCCAAATGAGCAGCTGCCAAGAAATGGGATGGAGCTGCTTTGGGCAGAGGTGGGGCAGAGGCTGGAGCTACTGCAGACCAGATGCCCACCAAGTGCCCTTCCAATACTGGAATTCTGTGGCACGATTCAAACCTTTCCAGTGCAGGGAGTGGGCAGCCCCCTGGGAAAACCTCTGAGCACGAAGGCTGGGGGGGCCAGACTACAGCCCCTGAGCCATGTCATTTCATGGCAGTGAAATCCCAGGTGTTGACCTAGAGGGCATCAGGGGCCAGCCGGGCTAACATCTCCCTTTTACAGATGAGGAGCCCAAGGCGCAGGGAGGGGAAGCCCAAGGGAGTGAGCACTAGAGGCCAAGTGTTTGGCCCTTGTCCTCCCTGGGCAAGCAGGGACCTGCCTGTTTCAAAGCTGTCTTTAGTGGGGGTCTTCAGCAGCAACTCTTGCTCACACTCCTCTTCCAGCTCATCATCCGTCTGTTCTCCAGGGCTCAGGGAGCAAGTTCCACCGGGCACAGACACGTAAGTCTCCCGCCTGAACTCAAAGGGCAGAGGAGGGGACAGCTCTAGGACCTTCCCTGAGGCCGCCCCACCATGGCCAGGCAAACCCAGAAAACTGGCTGCCCCTGACCTTGAGCAGGACACGACTGACTCTCTGCAGCTCAGCTCTGGCCCAGAAAATCTCCGTCTGAGATCCCTTTCCCCTGCCATGGCCTCTGGCTGAAGGACAGAAAGGACATGGAGGAAGGGAAAGGCTAGGTTTGCCCAAGGTACTGCTTGTCTCACAGCTACTGTCTCACAAGCTGCTTCCCAATGGAAGAAGGAGCGATGAGCCCCTTTCTAGCCCTCAGACCCTGGACCACCACTTTCAGGGTCACTGTGAGCCTCTTGGGAGGTAACTGGAGTGCTCTGTGCCACTATACAGACAGAGGCTCTCAACCTCGTGAGACAGAGGCAGCCAGAGCAGCAGCCACCTACCTCAGCTGGCTGCACCACTTTCTCTCTTTCATTTTCTTCTCCTGATCAATGTGATCGATTTCCATCAAGTGCTGTTTCATGCAGTTGGTGATCTCTGGGCCCAGCTTCCAGATAAATACACAACTGGAGGAAAGGGAAAGACCAGGCAAGACGTGAGCAGACTGGTAAAGGGGGAGAGAGGAGGAAGAAGAGGAGGAAAAGGACCGAAGAATGGACTGAACACTCACTATGCACAAAGGGCTATTCTAAGCACTCAGTATACAAACAGACTGCTGAGAAGAGTCCTTGCTCCCCAAGAGCTCCCATTTGAAGGTGGGGAGGGTGACATCATCTACGAGGGTTCAGCTCTGAGTCAGATGGAAGCACCTTATGGTCCTCAGACAAAGGAAAGAGAAAGGGGTGGGGTGAGGGGAGAGCTCAGGACATTTAAAGACCAAGAAGCAGGATGGCCCAGTGGAAAGAGCTCTGGACGAGAGGGATCCAGGTTCGAATCCCGCTTCTGATGCTGTGTGACCATCTAAACCCTGTCACACCTCAGCTGCCTCATCTGAAGGAGGGAGGCCGCCATGGGATCCTACATATAAAGGCCTCTGTGAGCCTCGACAGCTGAGCTGAGCTCCAGGTATGTGTCCCCCTAGGTGGCCTTCCAGGCTCTGTGGTAGTGGCCTGTTTGCTAAGTATACCGCCAGTGCCATCCTCCAAGGTACAGACAAAAATTCTGAGACAGGCCACTTGAGGCTTCCTCCCTCCAGGCTGACTGCTGCCTTTCAGGACTTATCTTTGGGTTCACTCGTTCAGCCAAGTTGGGTCTTAACTGCCCTGTCCTCTAACCCTTATATGGGACCTCATCCCCCGAGAGAGCACAAGAGACTTTGCCAAATGCTTTGCCAAAATCCAGGAGTGCAAGGTCAACAGTGTGCCCTTCATCTACCAAGCTGATGACGTGCCAAAAGAGGACACAATGGTAGACTGGCCTAAGCTGCTGGCTCTTGGTGATCGCTGCTTTCCTTTCTAAATGCTTACAAATCATCCCTTTAGTAATATATTCTAGAAATCAAAGTCAAATTCAATCTCATCCTCTCTCCCATCCTTTGAATTTTTAGGTTTTTTTTTTCTCCCAGTTGAGAAGTCTAAACTTTAATTCCCTGAGAATATTCTAAGGAAGTTCAGCAGCCTCATGTCAGAGGGCAGCTCCATCGTAGGACCATGACACTGAAAAATTTGACAAAAACTCACGAGCACCATTGGGACAGCTAGGTTGTGCCATAGTGCATAAAGAACTGGGCCTGGAGTCAGGAAGATGCATCTTCCAGAGTTCAAATCTGGTTTCAGATACTTCCTAGCTGTGTGACCCTGGGCAAGTCACTTTACCCTGTTTGCCTCAGTTTCCTCATGTGTAAAATGACCTGGAGAAGGAAATGGCAAACCCCTCAGTATCTCTGCCAAGAAAACCCCAAATGGGGTCACAAAGAGTCAGATATGATTGAAAAATGACTGAACAACAACAAGAAGAAAAGATGTAAATCCCTGAGAATGAGCGAAGGCACATCCATACTATGCAGGGTAAAAGTAGACAGCCCTGCAGCAGCCACGAGCTTTGGCACTTTGGTGCCTGAGCTACAGAGCACAGAGGGACACCCTAGGAACAGCTGCACAGGTCCAAGTACTCCCCAGCTAGGACGCATCCACCAGGCCCGGGTGTTCTGTCCACATGGCTACTGTGTGAGAGCTACCTGGAGAATATCCCCACTGGTCACAGGAGCCTTTGCTATGGCACACATATCTGTGCTGGCTCCATGTACGCTGCCCATGGCGCCCCCGTGGGCCCCACAGCACCTCAGAGTTTTCACAGATATATCCACGCTGGTCAACCAGTCAACTGTCATGAGGTTCAAATGAAACTATGGACATTGAAATTGGTTTAAACAAACTTTAAATTATAAAATACTATTTTCATTTCTCTACTGCCTCTTCACCTCACATCCCCCGCCCACACAACCCCAATGGTTCAGAAATGTGTCCTGTCTCAAGATTACTTCCTTACCTGTCTCCAGATACAGTGATCAGGTGGCGACAGTCATAAGTAAACTTCATGCCTGTGACAATTTCTGCAATCAAATCAGAGAAGAGTCTCTCACAACCACCTCTGTGGGAAAGCAGCCAAAGAGGTGTGGATCCTGAGGAGAGGCCCTGCCTGGGACCTGGGCCCAGACAAGAAGTGGGTGGACCTACCTGAATGCCCAAACATCTTGGCAATGCACTCTCCAGAATAGAAGTCAATCACCGAGATGCTCTTGTCAGAGCAACTGGTGGCTAGGAAGGTGCCTGAAGGGTCTACCTGCACCTGCCCAAGGGGAAAGGGGGAAACAACATCATCAACCTGACTGCAAATTCTACTCTTCCTTGGCATGGGAAGCACCTCCCCTTGGGCCTTCAGCCCCTCCTCCTGGAGAAGGTCAGCATGCCTGTCTCGTCCCTACTCCCCAGCGGTCCTTCTGCACAGTTCCAGGAGGCAGCTCCTATGAACTTTTCTGCCCCAACGGGAGGGGAGATTGCCCCTCTAACCCCCCGACCCCTTCTAGAGTCACCTGGCCCATAGCAGGGCCTCACAGCAAATCTCCAAAGGGCTAGCACGTGACTATGGGAAAGGCCACTTCTTAAAAAATGCAAACATTCTTGTTAATTATGAACATTTCAGTATACAAAAATAGAGAAAGAAGATTATTTTTGAAACCATGAGCTTTGGTTCCACGCAGTTTGAGTTTTTGAAAGCATCTCTTCAATTTGAGAGGCATACAACATCACGGCTAGAAAGCTGGCCTGGGAGCGAGGAAGCCCTGGGTTCAAGACTAGCTTCCGCCCGTACAGGCGGGGCCCCTGCATAGATCACATCACATCACATCACCTCCCAATGCCCCAGACAACTCTCCAAGACTACTGACTGCAGGGTCGGTGCTGGCCTGCTCTCTCTGGATTAAACTGGACTTGGTATTCACCAAACTGCCCCGTCTCTTGCCCCTTCTGAACCTTTTGTTTTTTCACTCTATTCTTCATGGTTTATTCATGCTGCTTTCTGGTGTTTCTTTCACTGCCCAGTCTCTTCCTCCCTCCTGGGGCCTGTCTCCAGTGCGCGGAGCCCTCAGTAAATCAACGCCCAGCCTCGAAAGGCCTCGGACTTGACAGACACACTGCTCCCCCCGCCTGTCCTCTCACCTTCAGCAAGGAGCCATCATCCCCCTGAGAGCCTTTGTAGCATTTCTTCTGTTTGCCATTGACCGTATCGTAGACTCTGGGGAGAACACCAGGCACCCTCAGGGTCTCCGAAGCCCACCTGACCCCAGCCCGGGCTGCCAGCTCCCTCCACTCACCCTCAGCCCTGCCCCTTGCAGAGGCTCAGAGGGGAGCAGGAAGGAGGGCCGACTCGGACCTCACTGGGCCCCAGTCAGTGCGGACCAAGGGAAGGGCCACAAGGCTTCAGCCAGGGTCAGGGATGAGCTAGGAACCGAGATCAGGCCAAGGGCAAAGCCAGCTCACCTCACATTCCTGTCCTGACAGGCCACAGCCACATACTTCTGGGTGATATCAATGTCCATGTCATACAGGGTGGTCTTCTCCGCCACATGATGCGTACGTACAAAATGAAGGCTATCAGACACCTAGGGCCACAAGCGGTTTTCAGAGACCAGGAAAACCCACCTCCCACTCCCTACCTTTGGGCACCATCTTGGTTTTTAAAAAAGAACAGAGAAATTGGCTGAAACCAAGTATCACTCTGTCCCTAAGGGTGAAGGTAGCCTGCCCATAAAGCATTCCACAATCCCCTACCTTCAGTCCCACCCCCCACCCGACTCCAGTCCCTGGGAGGAACAAGAATAGCCAGCCCTCTGACCTTTTGGGCACTGCGGAAGTAGATGCTTTTGTCAGCTCCACAGCTGATCATCTGGATGTCTCTGTTCCCTACAGGAGGGTAGAAAGGTTGGGCCCCTGACCACAGCTTGGCCCAGCCTGGCTTGAGGAAGGCCTGACTTTCTACAGTTGCCACTTTGGAGGGGCTCTGTGGAAACTCCCAGCCCTCCCATGGGTCGGTCACCTTCAGCACTCACTGGGACCCCTCACATCCTCTCATCTCTAGATCCATCTTTTCCTCCAAATCCCACCTCACTGGGATCCCACTTGTGCCTATAACTCCAACCACCTTCCAGACTGCAGCTATGGTCTGGCCTGGGCAGCAGGTGAGACAGTGAGCCTATCACCTCCCTTGTTCTTGGCACAGGCCTCTCTTAATGCAGCCACCACACCCTATTGGGCTTACAGTCCCCTGAAATTCCCAGATCATTTTCCCCCATGAACTATGCTTCCTCATCCCAAGGCTCAGGGCGCAGAAGGCAGTTTATTTTTCAGATCAAATGGTAGTTCCACATCTCACCACTGAAGGTTATCTTATTAGAGTCTGGTGATCACACAAGTCTGTCAAGGTCTTCACACAGTAAGCACTTAATAGACTGATTTTAGATCCTGACTATAACTTTAGCTACCCCTCTAAACTTGATGTCATCTGCCAGTCTAATAAACATGTTTTCATTGATGTCTTCATTCAAGTCATAAACAAACATGACAAATGGCAAAGGCTAAGGTCAGATTTCTGGGCACTCAACTAGAAACTTTCCTTCACTGTGATACTGTTCCTTGGGTCCAATCAGCTAACCAGTTGTACATCACCTAATTATGCTACCACAGAGCCCAAACCTCTCTGCCTTGTCCACAAAGACTTCGTGAGAGACACCGATAAAAGCTTTCCTGCATTCTAGGCATGCTATCTAGCGTTTCCCCATTGAGGAACTTTACAGAAGAAGGTCCAGCCTGATTTGGCTTTGGTGGAGCCAGGCTGGCTCTTAGTGATCCCTGCTTCTCTTTGGAACCACTTATAAACCTTTACTTTAATAATACAAGTCTACAGGTTCGCCAGGAATCAAAGCCACAGTCACTGGCTTACAGCCTGGAGAGTCTACTTTCTTCTCTTTATTGAAAACTGGAAGATTTGTCCATCCCTAGTCTTAAAGATCCTTCCCTATGCTCTGGAATTCTCCAAAAATGACTGAGGCTGAGCAGTTATAACCACCACTGCCTTCAGCAGCCTAGGACGATGTCATTGGTCTGGACCTGGTGACCTGAGTTCATGAGGGCAGCAAGGTGCTCTTCCCACCTTCTTAAAACTTACATGGAACTTCAACTCACTGGGCCCTGCTTTGGAGCTTGTCACTTGGAAGGTCATTCTTAGAAAACAGAAGAGGGTTATTCTGTATTCCATTACCGTTACCATCGTCCCACTCCCTTGGAGTTCTTCCTTCATATTCTTCTTGCCCCCAGCACACCTTAAAATGCCTTTCTCGTTGCCCTTACCATTTGCAAGCCTTGGTATCCCTGGCACAGTTTTTACACGCTTAGATCACCCTTTCGTACTCATCCTCCATTACCTTCCTTTGCTTCTATCGTCTATGTTAAAACAAAACAAAAACCTAATTGGTCAAAGTACGGTCCTAGAGAAGAGTTAAAATGTACCGCCCTCTCTTCACTGCAGAGTTAGGGGAGTAGGGGTATGGAATACTGTGCCCACTGTCAGATACGGAGCACGGTATTGGTTAGTATTGTTGAACTTTTTTCCTCTTTCTTTTTGAAACATTGCTACACGAGAAAGATTGCCAAGGGTCAGGAGCAAGATATATTCAGAAATAAATATAATAATAAAAAAAGATGTGATGTGAAAACAAATGGCACCAATAAAAATAACGCATAATTTTTCAAGTGAGTTCCCTGTGCGTAAATATCAGTCTCTTTAAACAGCTCCTTCTACTTTTCCCCAGTCTGCACATGTCACTTTGTTCAATTTCCCATCACAAGTACTATGATGTAGTAATTTCCCCCCAAAGTTCCCATCACTTCTACTTCAACAACCAAGTTCCTCCATGTTTGTAGCCCAAGAATTCTACAGGGTTAGATTTGGAACTGAAAGGGCCTTTTGAAGCTATCAGGTCCAAATCCCTTCATTTAACAAATGAGAAAACTGAGGCACAGAGAGATTAAGTGACTTACCCAGAGTCCCACAGCTAGTATCTAAGGTAGGATTTGAACTTAGATCTTCCTCAGTTGAAGTCCAAAACCATATCTACTACACCACAGAATTACAGAATTTGAGAGTTGGAAGGACCCGAGGAGTCATCTAGCCCAGCCTACATGGCCTATTCAAAATGATTAATATTTACATTAAAGGGTTTTACTCATATTAGCTCATTTGAGGCTCACCACAACTGCTATCTCCATTTTACAAGAAAGGAAACAAGGGCACCTAGGGGGCACAGCAGATAGAGCTCTGGCCTTGGAGTCAGGAAGACCTGAATTCAAATCCAACTTCAGACACTTGACACTCACTAGCTATGTGACCCTGGGCAAGTCACTTAACCCCGATTGACTCACCCCAAAAGGAAAAAGATTAAAAAAAAAGAAGAGGAAAAAAAAGAGGAAACAGAGGCAAATAGAAGTGAAGCTACTTGCCCAGGATCACACAGCTCGTAAGTATCTGAGGCAGGATTCACATTCAGATCAGTCCAGTGCCCTAACCACTGCTCCAAGTACTCTCTGAAAACCTGGAATGTGCATCAGACAATGCTTGGCTTTCCTCTCCCGTGTCACATATCTGAAGATAGAATGGCTCCTTCCTCCAACAGTTCCCAGCATTTTTACTTTGGGGACCAGTCCATCCATATTGGTCAGACTTAGATCCAGAACAAGTCCTTGGTACGTATTCCACTTTTTGTCGAATGAATCGTCATCAAGGAAAGTCAAGAAGCAATCACCTGTTACTGTTCGGGGGGAATTACTTTGGAGTGCAGGGGCAGGTGCTTATGTGTGATGCAAAATGTCGGCTGCGCCCAGATAACACACATCAGTAAACCCCATCAGTGGGAGGCCCTGTGTCTGCCTCCTGCTTCCAGGCCTGGCTTGTCATCTCCTCCTCAAATTCCTCCTCTCTGACCTTCCTCTGACTTCCCCTCCCCCAAATTATTTTGGCCAAGCTTCCCCCTTCAGAATTTCTTCACACAAGTGTATCTTCTCCAATCCGGTGCTCGTACAAACATGCTGTAAGACAGTTTGGTTTAACTGTGTGCAGAGAATATACTTTGTGGCCAGGCTGGTCTGGATGTTTGTTGAGAGGTGTCCATTTTGTCAAAACAAATTATGTCCAAAAAGCTCCTGCGCTGTTCTGTTTCATCTGGTCTGCCTATTAAATCTATTCTGTCCTTGAAAACTCAGTTAGCTGTGGTCAGGTTGGTCTGGTCGGGCGTCCCCACCCAAGTCCCAAGTCTTGGGAAGGTCTGCTGAGCCACACGCACTGCCTGGTGTTCTGGCCTCCCACTCACTGGTTACTGTCTTGTGCTTCCTCTGCTTCTGGAGAGACCTCAAAGGCCATGAGTCTGATTGCCAGCTCCTTCTTCGGTACCGTCTCCTCTCTAAGACTCTCCTCCTCACCCTATGGTAGTGGCAGCTATTTGGGTGGGCAGATATGGACGCTTTTTTTCCCTTATTCTTCCTTTTGCATTTAAAGTTCTCAACCAAGTTCACAAAACTCCAGACAGAATAAATTTTAAGATCTCTCCTAAGTGCGCTCCACCTTGATCAGGAAGCCTTTATATTTAGTGAGGCAATCAGGGTTAAGTGACTTGCCTAGGGCCACACAGCTAGTAAGTGTCATGTGTCTGAGGCCAGATTTGAACTCAGTTCCTCCTGACTTCAAGGCCAGAGCTCTATCTACCGCACCACCTAGCTGCCCCTAAGCAGCCTTTAACAGACTTTAAATTCCAAAGCCTGTGCCCTCATGCCATCTTCTCAAACTAACAGTTAACTAACCAAATATGCTTCTCCTTAGGAACTCCTTGCATATAGTAGGTACTTAATAATCACTGGATTGAAGTGAATTCCTACCGTCAACTAGCAGCTGTGATGAAAACACCTCCCATGTGCCCCCAAAGTCTTCGATTTCTTGTCCTATACTTTAGCAGTCCCTGGCGATATTTCCTAGGTGGCACTCTCTGGAAATAGACCACCATCAGTGAGTATCGGCCAATACGCTGAATAAGGCTCAGGAGTTTCTCTGAAACATACCAAGACCTGCCTTACTCATCTCATGACTTGTCAGCAAAGAGTCCTCTGTACAGGCATCAACCACTAGCCCCTGAATCTCCTTCCTTGAGCATTACTCAATGACCCCTGTGCGCTGGCCTCTCCTGGAAGCACAAGCTTCTGCAGAGGGTCCAGCTTGGCCCACTCAGGCAAGGGTGCCATGGCACAACAGAGTGGCTAACTCCAGCCGGAAGGTTCTCTGCTCAGCTCACTGTGGGGTCACCATAGCATTTATCACTAGCTTTCTGTGCAAATGTCCACTTCAGAAGACACCATGCACTATTCTTCTCTAGGAAACATTTCTTTCTGGACCCTGGATATTAATAACAATAACAGCTAGCATTTATGTTGCACCTACTATGTGCGAGGCACCAGGCTAAGCACTTTACAAATATCATCTCATTTGATCCCTCACAACAACTGTGGGAGGTAGGAGCTATTGTGATCCCCATTTTACAGCTGAGGAAACTGAGGTAAACAGGAGTTAAGGGACTTGCCTAGGATCACACAGCTACCTAGTGGTTTATTTGAGGGCCTAGTGGGAAAAGCATTGCCTTTAAAAATAACTGGGAATTGAATCTTGACTCCTGACTACCAGTATGACCTTCAGCAAGTTGCCCTGAGAGTCTGCTTCCTCCTCTGTAAAGTGATAGGCCAGCACTCTGGTATCTCAATGGACCCTTTCAGCTCTGTGCTCCCATTCCAGTGAACCCTGTACCAATTACCAAGCTTTAAACATTCAGTGCTCCTTCTCTGGGCTGTTCCTCCATCCTCTACTCTCTTGGCACAACCTAGGATCCTCCAGGGCTTCTGAAGAGTGTTTTCCATGGTTGCTTTGTCTCTGAAGGCCTTCCTCCTGCCTCTCTCATCATCATCAGCAGCCATCTCCCACCCTCAGAACTGTGGTTATTCACCAAAGCTCCTTCCAAAGATCTCTTCTCTCATCAGTTCCCATGAAGTCAATGATCATCTCTATGCGGATGATAACCAGGCTTCATTTCTCTCCTTATCCAGGCTGACCTTTCCTCAACTTCTCCTGACTCCTCCTTCCCTGACTCCTCACTGTCAATCAAATGTTGAGCTTTCCCACAGCCTCTCTCCCATCTGTCCCCCTCCCTGTCCTCACTCACAGGGCCCCAAACCTAGCTCAGATCCTCATCACTCCTCTCCTCAATAGCTTCCTCCTCATTTTCCCACTTCCAGCATCTCCCTTCTCCAATCCACCCACCACACAAGAGCCAAAATCATCTTCCTAAGACAAAGACCTGAACGGCTCACTGCCATACGCAATTTTTAGGGACTTGCTAATGAGAAGAGGATAAAATGTAAACTCCTCAGACCGGCATTTAATACTAACTTAAACATTCATTATTTAAAAAATCATAATAGCTTTGCTATTATTTCAAATCCTCCAAGACTTGCTTTTGGCCTGCCTTCCAGACCTTCTCTGTCTTACTCCCCTTCCCAAAGCGTATGTCCTAGCCAAAGGGAGCTATCAGGCAGTCCCCCAACTTGACATTCCATCTTGTGTCTCCATGCTTTGGCCCAGGCCCAGGACGCCTGGAATGCACTCCTCCTTCCTCATTTCCACCTTAGATTTCTTCACTTCCCTCAAGGTTTAACTCAGGAGCCACCCACTACATGAAGCCCTTTCACCATGTGTTTGTATTCTCTCCCTCCTCCCCACATTTCCTTCTGTTTTCTTAGTTGTGTGTACACAGGGCACCCTAGCCCCAGGGAGGTTGGAATCTCCCTGAGGCAGGGACTGTCTGCTCTTATCTTGGTATCCCTAGGATCTGGCGAGCACAGCGCGAGGCCAACAGAGGAGATCAGTACTGGATCTGTGATGTCACTGGATGAGGGAATTTCCCAGGGGAGGAAACTTCTCCTAAGAATGCAGAGTAGCCCACCCTGTGCACTTTATTTGGTCTTACAGAGTTGCCTAGAGCATAACAGTTAAAACTCCAGGCCTGCAAAATGCCTGAGTGCAAGCCAGACACATCTTAACTGGGAAAGGTTGAACAAAACCAATAAAAATACAGCACAACACAGTCGCTGCCGCGTTTCTATTTACACTTGACTCCACAGGTCTGACACACAGCCAGGATGTGTCAGAGGCCTGGTCGGTGTTCCTGGCTCCAAGGCTGGTATTCTAGCCACTAGGCCTCACTGCCTGCAGAGTGGGCATGTAATATCTGTGAGCTGAATTTCTGATACCCTGGAGAGGAGAGATGTTCCTTCAGCCCTGCTGCCTGCTCACACTGACTCCCTGAAGAGGTCCTGCCTCTTCTCCAGACATGACACGAGCTTGCTCAGCTGCCTCTGATTGCTAACTGGAAGAATCTTGCCAGGCCCTAATGCAACAACATGAGGTGTTCAGCTGTCCTCTTACAGAGAGTCTCAAGTGAAAATGGAAGCACCTTCTTTCCTCTGCCTATGATGATAGATAATACTTCTCCAGCCCTAAAACATTCTGTACCTGTTGCTGGGATCTTCACTGAGATCTCCCCAGGGCCTCCTAAAAACCTCCTAACCTCACTGTAATCTCCATCTCTGCCTGTCACATGCCCCCTCCCCACCCCGAGCTGCCAGTCATCTTTACCCCCCAAATCTTGAGGTCATGGCCCCCATCAGCTGCCAGAGCTTCCATCCTCTGCTCCATATCACGTTGCAAGAAGGACCCACTCTCCCACACAATCAGTCCTTGTTGTAAACAAGCCACTTGCCAGGCACCTCCCCATCTTTCCTGACCGACCGCCACATGCCCACCACCCACCAGCATTCCTCTCTGCCTCCCCTCACCCTCATCAGTCACCTTCAGTCCTGTCATCTCTGCCACCCTTCCTGACCACCCAGAGGTCTCCCTGTGACCCCACCCCTCCCCTATCATCTTCAGGCCAGAATGAGACCAAGACCACAGGGCAGAAGCAGATGAGCCTTGGGCTTTGGGGCCCAGAGGGAAGAACCAGGAACGGGAGGAGGCTGCAAAGAAACAATTCGAGCTTTGATTCAGGAACAGAATTAGAGCTGCCCAAAGGTGGAATGGGCAGCCTTGGGAACCAGGGCGGGGTGGGGCGAGGGAGTCTCTCTGGAGCTCGTCAGGCAAAGGCCTACAGCCCCTTCTCGACTCTTTGTGGAACACGTGGCCACGGGGGTCCTCTCTAATTTGGAAGTTCTGCGAATGTGTGCCCTCACCTGCAAACTTAATGGCTGTGATGGAGGAAGAATGGTCATCCAGGGTCTGCTCCAGGTTATAGTTCTTCTCCACGTTGAGCACGTGGATGAGTCGGTCTCGACTGGCTGAGGCCAGCAATGTCACCCCTGGCAAGAGAAGAGGGCCCAGGCTGCCCAGCAGGTCCTCCCACCTTCTCAGCCTCCCCCAAGCTGACTTGCTTGGGGAGCCTCGTCCTAGCTTGCTGAGCACACCCCTGCTTCAGGCTCTGTTAGCTCAGGCTCCAGAGAACTCAGCCTTTCCAAAGGGTCATGTTGCCTTACAATATCCAGGAATTTCTCTCAAGCTCCAAGTTGAGTTTTAAAAGTCTTGAGATGAATCCAGAGCTCTCTACATGCCTGCACCAAGAAATCTGAAGGAGATGGACGGTGTGGTCACGGCATAGAAGAAGCTCCCTGGCCCCTCCCTCGTTCATCTATTTCTCCACTTCCTTGCACATATTCTTGCCCACTCCAAGGAAAAAAAAAACTCACCAGTTTCAGGTTTGGAATATTCCAAACACAAAACTTCTGCATCATGGGCCTCCACCTTAATCAGCTCATCCATGAACCTAAGCTCATGAATCCTGCAAAATGAGACACACCACAGCCAGTGGGCAGGAGAGCCAGGTCTACCCAGCCCTACACACATGGCCCTGCCTGGCCCAGCTGCACATGCATGCATACCCCCAGGTTTGCCATCAGCCCAAGGTTATGAGGCTAGAACCCAAGGGTCATAGTGGTAAGACAACAGGGAGGGGCTGGGGGACCGGGGGAGGATATGAACCTAAGGCCTCTGACTAATGTGAGTCTGCCCCTCACCAAAACCGGTGCCATGGGAGGGTGACACTTGCCTCAGATTTCCACTTCGGTCACCTGAGGCCAAATGCTGACCATCAGGACTGACCTGCATGACCCGAACTCCTGACTTCATGTCCACAGGAGTCCCATTCTCGTTTCCTCGGTCTGGGAAGTGGGATATGTCCTGCAGATGCTGGATGTCATTTTCTACATATACCACCTTTAGCAGGTTCTTTGAAGAGAAGGAAAAAGCAACAATAAGCCAGTCATCCAGGAAAGAAGGCCCTGAGATCAGAGCCAAAGGTCCAGAGAGTGTCCATCAACAGTATCTGGAGGCCCAGGGTGCTCCCATCAAGGCACCGCCATGCAGAGCTCAGGACGACTGCAAACCCAAGAGCGGGGCCGGACCCAGGCCTCAGTGGAGAGACACCTGCAGGCCTGAAACAGTGTGACTGATGAAGGGGGAGGGGCAAGAGCTGGACCTAACATCCCTGTGGAGTGAAGCCTTTTCCAACCCTCAGTGATCCACAGCTCCTCATACCAGAGAGCGCTGGTCCATTTTTATTGCCATCACTGCCCCATCCAGAAGGCAGGGATCCCCACCCCTGGCACCGAGCCCTGTCTATAGGAGGTGCCCAAGAAAGGTTTGTTGCTACTAATGGCATGTCTTCACGTTTGTAGTTAGATTGGTTTGGAACAATTTAAGCAGGACAAATGAGTATACCTACATGTATAACCTATATCAAATTGCTTGCCTTCTCAAAGAGGGGGGTGGGGAGGGAGGAAGACAGAATTTGGAACTCAAAATTGTAAAAATGAATTAAAAATTGTTTTTACATGTAACCGGGGGAAAATAAAATACCAAACAATTAAAAAAAGATAGGTGAGTCTAGTGGCTACAAGAAGGCCTCAGAAACTGAGACCTGGGAAAATGCCCGCCCCTCACTTGCTCTTAGCTCCTGGCATCTGGACGGGGTCAAGCACACAGTATAGCCAAGCTGAATTCAATAGACAAGTTGGTCAAAACTCCTGAAGCATGATTTGGATAGCTGAACTTTTAAAGGGAGCAAACCAATGCTGGCCAGAGAAGACGGACTACGGAATGAATGGAGAAATGGGAAATCATCTCTATCCTCCAGTGGGTGCTCTTTACCCATCTTTGCCCTCTATCATGGCTCAGAGGCGAAGTGCAATTTGGGGGAGCTCTGGGAAGAGCAGGGGCTCCCCCTGACTTGAAAGAAGAAAGGGAAAACAAAAGCCTAGCAGCCCTACACTACTCACATTGCTGAAAACATTCTTGGGACGGCCAGAAGTCGGGCTGTTCTCCATGTTCCAGAAGCGGATAGTGTTGTCGGAGGAGCAGGTCAGAAAGGATCCTGAAGGCAAACAGGCTCTCTGGTCTTCAAACTCCGGGTAAACCTAGAGCCCCCCCGAGGACAGTGCAAGTCGGCTCTCATCACAACTCTGCCCAAGCCAGTGGCCAGCCCCCACAGGCCTCCAGGGACAAAGACTTGGGACCTTTTACCTATAAGATTTTGTGGGAGAGGGAGAGAGAGGGCCCAACTCACCTCGACGTTCCAGACATAGGAACTGTGGAAGAGATCAGACCATACTTTGCCCACTTTAGTTAGGTCTCGGATGTCCCAAACGTAGATGCTGTGGTCCTTGTACACACAGGACAGCCAGTGGTGGCAGGGGTCAAAGGCCAGCGCCACTGTGTCTGGATAGACTGACTGAGCCTTCCTACAGAAGAGGAAGCTGGACAAGAGAAGATGTCTCCTTTACCATCCTCACCAGCACCTGTGAGCTGACCCCTTGTCTCCTTGCCCTGAGGCTGGGGGAAGGGGAGATGTGCCCCTCCCTTGGGGCACCCCAGCTGGCTCTCAGCCCACAGACAGCCCCTGGGAAGCCATGGTGAAGACAGCTTCAAGAAGGCGTGTCAGTCTCTTCCAAGCTGGGCACTGGAGACTTTCTCCCAGGCCAGACGGTCCTACTGAGCCTCAGCCAAGCACAGTGGCTGCTCCTCCTACCCCGAGCCTATTGGAGCCCTTCCCTCCACTGGGGCATGGGCCATGGCTCCAGACATATCCAAAGACCCAGTCAGGTTTCCCCGCTTATCTTTGCTCAGGTTGACACTCCCTGGCAGGGGCAGCTCTAAGACCACGGCTCTGTGGCTGAAGTACCTGGGATCCAGGCCTTGGGCCACGTCTACTCCCAAGTAGTGAGGCTTGGGTAAGTTGGTCACATAATGCATGTCACGTGCTTGGAAGATGCGGACTGTCCCATCGGTACAGCCACAGAAGATGAGATCCTCACTGACGCATAAGCATGATGAAAGGGAGACCTGTGGGCAAAGGAGAGGGAGAAGGGGGCATGGGATCAGGCCTTGGCCTCCAAGAGATCTTTTAGAGCTCACTTCACTCCCCCGCCCCCGCCGCCCACCTAGGGAGCCTAACTCAGATGCACAAGTTGGGGTGTGGGGGTGGTTTTTCCATGTGTTCCAGGCATGGAAGAGATTTCAAAGCATTGAGAAAGACTCCTAAGAACAGAAGGATGTGGGCACCTTCAGGTTGATCCACTTTTCTAGGACTCTCTTCTCATTAAATTGGCAGAGGAGACCAGAGTAGGACACACAGAAGGTGTTGCCCGCCATCCTGCCTCTCCCCACAGGCAACACCCACAGAAGACGTTGTTGTGCAGCTCTCCCAGGATGCCAGAGCGCCCCACGAGGGGCACCGTGCCAGTCACCTAAGGGAAAAGGGGCCAGGTCACAGCCCTGCACCCAACACAGCCTCACGCCGGGCCTATGCTCAGGCCAGAGAGGAGACAGCCACCTAGAACAACATGTGAATAGCAGACCACCCACCGGGGGCAAGGGCAGGAAGAGAACAGGAAAAGGAGCCAAGCTGGGAAACAGACCCAGGGCCAGCAAAGGCAAGACGAAGAGGGGAGTCAAAGAACTCAAAGCTAGTGCCTGGGGCACAGCCTGCAGCCAGCCAAGGAGCTGAGCTGGAGTCTAAGGCGGGCAGTCATAATGGGGGGCAGGAGCTAAGCAATGGCCACCCAGAAACAAAACAGAACACAAAGGGGAAACCACTGAGGCCTTAAACACAGCAGGGCTTCAACAGGTGTGTGCTGAAGGACAGAATGGAACCAAAGCGGAAGGCTCAGGGAATACTTCCCAGATCCTGGGGAGCCCTCCAGGGACCCCAGGCCAAGCCTCCTGGCTTTCCTCTGCCCTCCTCTTCCCCTTCCTCTGTCCCTCCCCGCCCTCCCATCTCTCTCTAACTCTATCTCTGGACCCCCCTAATGCCTTCCCCACCCCCATCTCCGTCTCTCTTACCTTTAGGTCCTTGGACACCTCCAAGAACCAGAACTTGACATGCCGGTGGCCCACAGTCACAAAGTAGCTGCTGTCCTCAGAAAATGAGATGGCGATGACCTTACAGGACACCTTGTTGGAGGCGACCACACTGTCTTTCTAGAAAAGTCATGGACAAAAGGCTAGTCCCCAACATTCCCAGACATCCCCTGGTCCCCTGTGGCAGCCTTGCTTTTCCCAGCCTCTGCGCCCCATCCCTTCTGTCTCCTCTGCACGTGGCTCCTTCTGTGCCAAGTTCCTGACCTAGTGTCTCCTCCATTGGCTTGGGAGCTCCTAGAGGGCACGACCTGGGTTTTTGCCTTTCTCTGTCCCCCCAGCACTCAGCCCAGAGCCTGGCACCAAGCAGGTGCTTCATTAAACATGCTTATGCGCTGTCCTACACCTTCAGTTTCTTGACCCCCTTCTCGGCTCCTTCCAGGCAGTGTGCCCTGGGGGTGATGAGCTAGTCTGGCTCTGTGGGCCATCACAGCCTCCTCTCCTTACCCCTCTCAGCACAGAGTCTCCTCTCAGCAGTCATGGTGGGAAGATGGGCAGGGTGAATTTCCCAGGAGATGATGACCCCCATCCTACCACTCCCAGGAGGGGTGAGGGAGGACAGAGCCAGGCAAAGCCTGAGGAGAGGAGCAGCAGGGCCACTGTCCCCAGCTCACCTCAGACCTGAGGTGGCCAAACCTGTTTCTCTACCAGCGGCCCCACAAAGGACTCAGCCCCTTCATGGAACAATGGGCCAGGGGAGAAGTGTGCCAAGGGGAGGGGGATGCTGGGGAGGGCCCAAGTGATTCCTACTCAGAAGCATCACGACAGTGGAAATAGCACGGAGCTTGGGATTTCAAGGCCTGGATTCAATTCCTACACCAGACACTTCCTGTGTGACTGCGGGTGAGTCAGTCAGCATCTCTGAGCCTCAGTTTCCTTATTTGTAAAATAAAGTATGTAATAATATTCACACTAACTACCTCCCAGGACCGTGTGGTGAGGAAAGCCCTTCGCAACTCTGGGAGTGCCATTACAGATATAAGAATGACTGTTATCAATGCCTGGCCTGGCCTGACCTCCAAGTGTCCCCTCAGAATCCTGACCCCTGGGGGCCACCCTTCCTCCTGCATGTTTGATCCCTGTGTCCCACAGCCCAGGCAATACCCTGCCAATTCAGCCTCAACCTTGGCATCACTCACCAGGCAGGAGATACTTGATCTGCTTTCACTCCAATCACTTTCCAAACCATCCCCGGGAGAGAGGAAGCACTTTAAGAACCGAATGAAAGCTCAGAAGAGGGGCTGGGGCCCTGTTTTGGGGGGAGGCAGGTACCTTCCAGTCCCAGACGTTCACCACCATGTCATGCTGATAGCCCATGGACACAATGTGCTTCATGTTCGGTGAGAAGGCCACACACGCCACCCCGTACTTGTGGCCCAACATCTCTGCCACCTGGCTCTTCTCCTCCACGTCCCAAATTCGAACAGCTGGCCTATGCCCATTCTGTAGGAGGCAGGCAGTATCAACCACACGGCTTGACTCCAGGGTACAGTCTGGGCAGGACAGGCACCCTATGGCTCTGGACTCACACAGGGTGAGGATGAGCCCCAGACCAGGCCCAGAGGGTGGGTGAGGGCGCAATCCAGAGTCTCTCTGTGCTTTCTGCCAGCCCTCAGGGCCACAAGAGGCCAGTACCAGGAGGACATGCCCATGAGCTTGGAGGAGCCGATAGAACCAGGGGCTGCTATGGAGCTGCCTCATCATCCACCAGTTGTTAACTCACCTCCCCAGTCACGATGTATCTCCCATCAGGAGAGAAGGCGAGTGCGCTCAGGGCTTTCCTGAGGACCCAGAAGAAGGAGGCTATTAGTTTTCTACTTGCCAAGAAATGGTTTACAAGTCACTGAAACCATTCTCCCAGCACCAGCTTGCAGAGAAAGCTGAGCAGGGAGATTAAGACTAGTGCCCCAGTGCCCTGACCCACAGGAGCTTTGAGGGCTGAGCAACACACCCGTGTCCTCACCACCACGGCCAGGGTACCTGAAAACGCAGCACAGCTGGCCGGCGGCTATGAGCCAGGTCAGAGGGTCAAACAGAGGAAGCAATAATCAGGACTCTACCAAGAGAAACTTCGCCTCGGTTTCCATGCTCAGGGAATATCTATGCCCACGGGCACATTAGAAGGTAGCCACTTATTCCCCACAAGGACAACCACTGGGTAGCGATCCTTGTAAGTGCTGAACAAATGAGCTAAGCAGCCCTCCCTGTGGCCTAATCCATGCCCTACTCCTGGGGCTGGCACTCAGTCCTACGACAACATGGCAGGAGGGAGGTGGGGGGAGCCCTTGGATTAAACACACTTCAGAGCAAAATGGGTAGGGGGGTATGTGGGTGTCTGCCCACACATACCTCTGCTAGGAGGGAATGGCATTATTTATTCCACTAGGCCCCAAAGCTGCCCACCAAACTGTTCCTAGCTCCAACTAGACAGCTAGGCGGCACAGTGGATAGGGTTGGACTGGGACTCAGGAAAGCCTGAGCTCAAATGTTGCCTCAGTCACTTAACCTCATTCTGCCTCAGTTTCCTCACCTATAAAATGGGGATACTAATAGCACCTACTTCCCAAAGTCATTGTAAAACTCAAATGAGCTAACACCTGAAAAGCATAAAGTGCCAGAGAAATGCTGGCTATTGCCATGATGCCACGTCTTACCCTCACCTGGCAGTATTAAAGATGTGGTGCTGCTTACTCTTCTTGGGGTCTAAGATCACCACCACACACCTGCAAAGAGACAGGCAGACGCTTGAGCCACCACACCAATACTGTAGCCCCTGGGCTCCAGTGGAAGAACCCGGCCTCCCAATAGACACATCCCCCTCATCGCCATGGTCTATACCTCCCGCCCATCATGGCCACGTGGCTCCCTCGCTGGGGCCTCATTGTGTCGAGGCCATATTGTACATGTTTCACCCTTATGAGCCTCAGACAATTCACCTGTTTGATAGGAACTTAGGGAAAATGGTCAGCCAGCTTTATATCCCAGACTCCTCTGGTATCATCTCAATAAAGATGATCAAAGGGTCCAGATAATTTCATAATTCAACTAGAACAATGGAGTCACCTCGAAGGGCCACTACCCCATTTCCCCCAGCCTCTCCTTTGTCTCGTCTACCACCCTGGCTATTTTGATGGGTGTGAGGTGATAGCCTCATTTCACTAACTGACGATTTGGAACATTTTTTCCTCATTTGTTAAGAGTTTGTATCACTTCTTGAGAAAATTGTGTATCTCCTTTCACCCTTTATCTTTCAGGGAATAATTCAGTCTTAGAAATTTGTATCAATTTCCTGTGGATTTTGGATAGCACATTTTTATCAGGAATGGCTGATACAAAGTTTTTCCTACGATTTTTCTTCTTATTCTGGCTGCACTGATTTGGTTTATTTTTGTCTTTTATAAAATCTTCTTCATCCTTTTCTCAGTTAGGAATTCCTGATTTTCCATTGTCCTTTAATTTTTTTTTTAATGATATGACTGTCTGTATTTAGATAATTTTTCTATTTCGAATTTAACATGGCATATTACAGAAGCTGAATGTTTAAACCTGTCCTTCACCAAACACTGACTCCCCATCCCCCTCACCATCATCCTCTGCCAGTTCTCAGCAAATAAAGAGAAGCTCAAATTCTGGAATTAATCCAACCCTGGACAGTTGGACTTGTCTGCTTCTAAGTCCTGCTCATTTAGCCCATCCTACTGACCTGCTTTTCTCCTTTTTAACCAGTAACCAAATAGTTTTGATATATTTACCTTAAAATATAGAGATCTGACAATAAGAAGCTCCTTTTCTTCCTATATATTTTTCATCTTCCCCTTCATTTCTGGGGACTTTTTTTTTCCACCACAAGAATTTTCTTATTGTTTTTCCTGGTTCTATAGAGAATATGTTTGGTAGTTTAGTTGGTAAAGGAGTAAAACTGCAAATCCATTTAAACCATCATTCTTCTCATACTGGCCCAGGCATTAACACTGACTGTCTCTTCAATCTCTTTCTTTACTTCTACAGTTTTGTATCCAAGTAAGTGTCAAGTGCATCGTAGTAGGTTCATGGCCAAAACTGTATGCATTTTGTAGTTGTTGTGAAAGGGAGGTCTGTTTCTTCCTCCCGGTTTTTGTTGGTAATGTACACAAAGATTGAGGATTTTTGTGGATGCTACTCTGATGATGCTATTGATGATTTTAACGAGTTTCTTCACTGATTCCCTAGAGCAGGGGTGGGGAACCTTCAGCCTTGAGGCCACATATGGCCTGATGGTTTGTTCTGTAAAATCTAGATTCAGTCAAAAGGCCGCACTTAAGGATCTAGAAGGCCACATGTGGCCTCCAGGCCGCAGGCTCCCCATCCCCTGCCCTACAGTTGTCTAAATAAACCATCATATGTCTACAAATACAGATAACTTTACCTCCTCTTCTCCTTGTTTATTCCTTTCATTCCTTTCTCCCATCTCACGGACATAATTTCCATGTCTAGCCCTACGTCAAGTACTAATGAAGAGAGGAGGAACTCTTGCTTCAGCCCTGCTCAGGCTAGGAAAGTTTCCAGGATTCCTCCATTACAAGACGATGTCAGCTTTCTGACAAATGTTTTCGATCCTATTGAAAAAAACTCTTTCCAAATCCAGACAGGGGTGGGGAGCCTGCCACCTCGAGGCTACATGTGGCCTCATAGGTCCTTGGGTGAGGCCTTTTGACCGAGTCCAAGTTTTACAGAACAAATCCTTTCATTAAGGGGATTTGTTCAGTGAAGTTTGGATTCAAAGGGCTGTACTTGAAGACCTAGAGGGCCACAGGATCCCCACCCTGATTTAGCATTTTTTAACATAAAGGATTGATATGCTTTACTGAAGGAATTTCTGAACCTATTGATGCAATTGTGATTTTTGTTGTTTATATGATTAACTTTGCTACTTGTTTTTCTATTGCTGAATCATTCCTCTGAGCCCTGGCATAACTCCAACTTGGTCATAATGGATACTTCTTTCAGACAGACTACTGTTGTACGTGTGCTAAAATTTTATTTTAAAATTTTGCATCAATATTTATTAGTGATTACTACTCCATAGTTCTCTTTCTCTGCTTTACCCCTCCTTGGTTTGGGCTTATACCCCAAGGGGGTCACTGACAGAAAGAAAGTTCCCAAGGGTACCAAATATTCATAGAATTATTGGTACCAGCAAAAAGATGAAAACCAATTATGCACGCATGGATTGGAGAATGGCTGAACAAACTGTCATGTGAATTAATTGAATACTACGGTGCCATAAGGAAAAGTAAATATGAATAATTCAGAGAAATAGGAGGAGACTAGTATGAATTGATACAGGGTTGGGGAGAACCCAAGAAACAATATATACAATGACCACAATGATGTAAATGAAGATAGTGTTCAAGTACATCGAATTCAGGTCAAAAACAATGGCCTAGGTTGGTTCCAGATGAATGATGTTTAGAGCACACTTCCTTCCTTTCTATCGAGGTGAACGTTCTGTAAGAGCAGAATGTCTCGAGGGCGTCAATCGGCTACAATGACAATGTTACCTGATTTTGCTGAACTGAATTTTTTAACTGGAAGGTAGTCATGGGAACTTTCTGTCACTGACCGCCTTGGATCAAGGAGTTTACGAGTAAAGCAGAGAAAGAGAACCATAGAGCAGTAATCACTAATGACTACACAAAAATTTTAAACAAAATTTTAGCAAACATTCAATAGCAACATGTCCAAAAGAAAGGTTTATTATGACCAAGCTGGAGTTATAAACAGTTAAAATTGGGAAAGGGGAGGGTGAGGCGTGAGAGGCGTACCAGAGGGTTGTGTATTAGGGAATGATTATCATGTCAAAACCAAATGGGTCAAGTTTTCAATGAGCCCCAACACAGCATCTGTCAATTACTGTTCTAAGTGTTCACATACACAGAACTCCTAAGCTGAGAACATCCCGTTTGGACATCTTCTTGAAAAAGACTTTGGGGAACTTGGGCTCATTTCCCCCCTGAGCTCTACAATTGGTTATTAAGACACTGAGAGCTTTTCTCACTGAAATCTAGTCCTTCTCAAGCTTCGAGAAGAAGGCAAAGCGTAGGTTGCAGGATCTCCTGTGAACAACAATAAGGGAGGCCTGGAGTCCACAAAGCATGCCATGAACAACTGGAAAGGGATCTTACCACCTAGCTTGGAAAAGCGCCAGCCGTACTACTCACCCAGCCAGGTAGGCAATGTAGCCTGTGTTAGGATCACATGTTAAGCCACTGCTGTTTTGAGCTGTAATGCCCAGTACTTTCTCCAGCGTTACCTGCTCCCAAGGAGAAAACAAAAATCAGAGACCTCCCAAAGACCTGCTGGCAAAGTAGAGTCCACTGAACCCAGCCTAGGGCACTCATGCCTGCTTGCTCCCAGGAACCAGTGAAACCTCAGGAGCCACATATAGGAAACAGGATCCCAAATCACTCCTGAACTCCAAAGAATGGGGTGAGCAGCACAGGGCCCGAGCACCTGGTAAGGAAGTTTAGGTAGGTTTATCCTAGGCAGGCTGGTTAACTGGGATGGGTATTAGGCACAAAGGAAAAAACAGGGAGCCCCACAAGGGAGCACAGCCAAGTCACTCCCTCCAGAGCCCTTGCTAAAATTCACAGGACCTCAAAGCGGGCAGGAAGCTCACAGGGCATGGATCCTCATCCAGAAATTTTCTCAGTGACTTTTCTAACAGGCAATCCTAACAGACAGCTTCAAGGTCTCCAGTCCAGGGGTAGCCCCCAGCTCCTGAGGCTGGGTCTCTGCTTCCAGGGAAGTTTTCCTTGAATTGAGCTGGAACCACTTCTCCCAGTTCTATTCACTACCCCTAGTTCTCAGGTCAGAGATCAAGGATAACAAATAACAAACAGTCCTTCTTCCACAAGACAAAGACTGGAGATCTGGCTCATGTCTTCCCCCATACCTCAACCCTAGGCCTTTTCTTCTTTAAACTAAATATTCTTCAGCCGATGCTCATAAGGCATGGTTTCCAGGCCTCTCAAGATCCTGGACAGCCTCCTCTGGTCCCAGCCCAGGTTGCAAATGCTCTTCTTCAAGTGTGGGGCCTAGAACTGAACACAATCTTCCAACTATGGCCTGTCAGCTGGGGTCAGGACCCTCTCTTATCTCTGTGGGATTACAACCTCACCTGCTGGGGGCTGCCACAGCTCCCCAATTGACTCATTTTGAGTTTACCACTAGAACTGCCAGCCTTTTTCATTGAATCTCTACTGCCTCTCCTTCCTTTCTCTAGCTTATACTTAAAGATGGCACTTTTTACCAGGGTCAGAGTCTCCACTTACTGCGATAGTGATATGACTTCCCCTGCAGTGATGCAGCACCCAACCCAAACAACTTTGGCCATCTTGGGTGCCTCTTCTCTGTGCCCCTCATAATCGGCTCCTCTCCTGGGAAGCCCATGGGGCCTCTAATTACCTAATTACCCCTTACTCTCACTACCTCCTTTGAAACACTGCATTTGTCGTGGGTTCTAGACGGCTCTATCCCACCATGCACCACTCTGCTGCCCTTTGGGTGACCCTCTGTGATTTAATTCTTTAGAGAGGCTGCCTATTAAATGTCACCTCATCAGCATGGCCCTTCCTTCCGACTCTGAAGCTCTCTTTCAATGCTGACTCTGCACACCTATCTACCTCTGCATTAGCTATCCCTGCCAGATTGGCCATCTGTAATTCAGCAAGCACACTATCTTGGCTTCCATCCAAAGCACTAACAATGACATTAAAGAGCCCGAAGCCAAGGCTGGATCCCTGTGGCACTCCATTAGAGACCTCCCTCCAAGCTGACAACAAACCATTAATGAGCCAGGCCTCTTTGGGTCCAGTCATTTAACTTGTACAGAATTCAGTCCTAGCCCTGTCACCTGGACCATATCTCTTCACTTTTTCCACATGGCCAGAAGTGGAGCCTTGGTCCAAGCTGTGACAAAATTCAGAACGGTAACACTTTCTAAGTCTGTAAAGAGAGGCCTGGACCCATCTTGCCCATTTCAGAGGAGGGAAAATGAGGCACAGCCAGGATGATGCCTGGTCTTTGATGGCACGGCCAGAATATAGCCCTTGATTGCTCTCCAGAAGAAATCAATAGCTAACTCTCACACACCTACCACACATGAGATGCATCAGAGACAGAGGAGAAGGTGGTGGAGTCTCAGTTTCCCAAATTAAGTTTTACTGCTCCCCTACCCAACAGGGTCATGATGACTTGAGCTAGCCCTGTTCAGGGTTGACCCTTACCTTCTAGAGGTCAGTTTCCCAGGGGACAAGCTGCTGATCTACATTCCATGCCATCCAATGCTGCCATCCCTCAGACAGAATGCTGGACTGGGTAGTCCCAGGATGACCTGGATACCCCCAGCTCTCCTGGCATCCAGAAGGCAGCAGGATGGGCCTCCCCCACAATGTTATCTCCATGCCAAGTACCTGTTCCAACTGCTCTTAGTAATTCCCCTTATTACTCTTTATCTAAGAATTCATCTATACTAGCTTGAATTGTACAAGCCATCTGGTGAAATATCTTGTTCCTAACACAGGACTAAAAATGTGCCACAGGCTAAGTCCCATCCCCAGTTCTTTCCGATTTGAGAAGTTGGGTTTCAAGGGTAAGATCTGAACCCCTACAATAAAAAGAAGTGTTTTCAAGGACTTTCTGTATCCAAAGCTACCTCCTTCAGGCTTCCAAGGCTCCTCTCCCCCTTCTATCTACCTTGTTCTAACATCTTGGCTGAGAACAAGCCCATGGTTGCTCATACCAATCTCTTTAGCTCTAGAGACTGAAGAACGCCATCAGGGTCTAGGTCCACGGGGGTGAGAACTGGACTAACAAAAGTAGGAGGGCAAATAGGCGGCGCAATAGATAGGGTGCCAGATCTGGAGTCAGGAAGACTCTTCATGAATTACAATCTGGCCTCAGATACTTCCTAGCTATGTGATCCTGGGCAACTCACTTAATCCTGTCTGCCTCAGCTTCCTCATCTGTAAAATGAGCTGGAGAAGGAAATGGCAAACTACTTTAATATCTTTGTCAAGAAAGCCCCAAATGGGATCACAAAGAGTAGGACTCAACTACAATAACTTAACAATACCAAAAATAAGAAACCCACAGGACCAGAAGACCTGCAGTGTGACTGCGGAATTTCACCTCCCATGGGCCTTCATCTCCTCCCCTTTAAATGAGGGGGCTGGACCAGAGCAGGAGTTCTTGGGGGAAGGGAGGAAATCTGTGAACTTTCAAAAAACTTTTTGATTATTTGAACACATTATTGTAGGAGAGGCTCCATAGACTTTCCCAGACCACCAAAGGTGCTCTTTGGCTCTAACTCTGCATGATTATCTGATAGCTCAGAAGTAAGGGTGGGAGGGGTGACCCAGCTCTTTCAAGGGCCTAAAGGGTCCCAGGCAGAGTTAGAACCACAGGCCAAAGCATGGAGGGTCAAGTTGTCACATTAGGAAGCAGATCCTAAGGAAATGTTAGTTGGTGGAACACACGCAAAACCACACACCCCAGGTCTAGAAGAAAGAGGGTCAGTTTGGAAGGTTCCGCCCAGAGTCGGGGTATGACCCTAGCCAGAGAAAAGGTCAGGCCAGAGAATCCTAGCACTGTAGATCTAAGGCCATCCAGTCCAACCCCCTCATTGTACAAACGAGGACACAGGTTAAGAGGGGTTAAATGACTTGCCCAGGGTCATACACTAGTAGATGGATGAGGCTGGATTTGAACTTCTACCCACGGACCCCCTCCAACTGCCTGGGGGGAAGGGAGGGCAGAAAGGGAGGAGGGCGCCCAGGGCACTTTCTCCCCATCCTACAGGCAGTGTAGGGGAGGGGGTGTCTCAAGGGAAGGGAAGGTCAGTGACTGAGGTCACCCTCAAAGACCCTCATTTTACAGTGGAGGAAACTGAGGCCCGGGGAGCAGAGCCGAGGTTCCAACAGACTTTCTTGGGCTCCCAATCTAGGAGGTGGGGGAAGGGGCGAGGTCAGGAGGGGGCAGGGCGAGGATAGCAGAGGGAGGGGGGAAGGGCGGGCCCCAAAGGGTCTGCAGGGCCTGAGGGGTGAGGGTGGGGAAGAGGGGACTGTGGGGGCGGGGCGATCCCGAGGAAGGGGAGGGGTGAGGCGGCCCCGGAGGGGAGGGGAGGGGAGGGATGGGGCGGTCCCTCAGGGGAGGGGGCGGGCGGTCCGTGGGGAAGGGGCGGGGCGGCGCTCGTCCTCACCCGGCTGTGCACGGTCTCCTCGGGCCCCGGCAGGAGCCTCACTCGGCGCCTCAGGCAGAGCGGCGGCGGCGGCGGGGAGACCAGGCTCTTGCGGGCCGGGCCCGGGCCCCCGGCCGCCAGCGGCGGCTGCTTCTCCCTCTCCCCGCGGGGCCCCGCCTCGCTCCGCGCGTAGCCGCCGACGCCGGGCTCCGAGGCCGCCATCCCGGCCCCCGGCGCCCTCCCGACGGTCCCGGCGTCGATCGGAACGAGCGGAGAGACCGTTAGCCGTCGCAACGGCCGCTCGCTCCGAACCGCCGCGGGAAAAGCCGGCACTCCCGGGCGATTGGCTAGGTCCCGCTCCAAGCCCGGCCAATGGCCGAGCGACCGGTCCCGCGGCCAGCCAATCAGCGGCCGGGGGCGGGCCTGAGCGGACGCGCGTCACTGGCGGGTGGCGGCGGAGGCGGGGGAGAGCCGCGCTTCCAGCCCCCTGCTCCTCGGTGGCCTGACGCAGGAAACTTTCTTAAATTAAAAATTTATGGGTGTGTTTTTACGCGACAAACTTTTACAGATTATCCCGACTCCACGACGGGTCTCTTGTAACAAAATAAAATCAGTGAAACTAATAACAGTAACCTGCAACTTCCTAATTCTGAAGAACCCCCCACCACACACACACACCTGTCTTTTTGTTATTTAAAGTGAAGAGAAATCCATTTTCTCTCCCTCCTACCCTCAGCTCATTGGAAAGAAAATAAAAGAAACACAAATTTCTACATAGTCAAGAAAAACATTCCCTCAAGGGCTTTACATAAATATCTAGGATGGATGGATAGCTGCACGGATGGATGCATGGATGAATAGATACAGATATGTCTCACTCTGCACCCTAAATCCATCACCTCTGTAATGAATAATATGTTTCATCATCCATCCTCCGAAATCACGGTCATTGTATTGATCTGAGTTCAATCAATCCAAAAACATTTATTAAGCATTTACTTACTAAGCACTGATGCGCCAGACCTCGTTCTAAGAGCACTGGGATACAAAAAGAGGCAGTTCTTACAGTTTTCCAAGTTTTTCATGTTATCAGGTAAATCGTTCTCTTGCTTCTGTTCATTTCATTCTTCATCAGTTTACAAAAGTCTTCAGAAATGGTCATTTTTACAATATAGATGTTATAGGATAAACTGTTCTGCTCCTGCTCGCATCTCTGCATCAGTCCATTTAAGTCTTTCCGTGTCTTTTTGAAATTCTTATATCAAAATAGTATTCCTTCACATCAATATACCACAACTTATCCGGCCATTCCTCAATTGATGGGCATATTGGGCATGTATTTAGTTCCTCAGTTTTTTGCCACTACAAAAAAAAGCTGGTATAAATATTTTTGCGCACATAAGGCCTTTCCTTATTTCTTTGATCTCTTTTGGTATAGACCTAGTGGTATAGCTGGGTTGTGCCTATTCACAGGTCCACCAACAGTGTATCAATGTGAATGTTTTCTCCTAGCCCCTCCAACATTCATCATTTTCTTTTTTTATCCTCTTTTCCATATTGATTAGTGTAAGATGTAATCTCAGAATTGCTTTAATTTGAATTTCTCTAATTATTAGTAGTCATTTGGAACATTTTTCCCCCAACATAGCTGAGAGCCTGTGTTTATTTGTTAAGAACTGACTTCATATGTATGTGTGTGTATACATATATACATGTGTATATACATGCAGAGTGTGTGTGTCTATGTGTGTGTATATATATATATATATATATATATATAGAGAGAGAGAGAGAGAGAGAGAGAGAGAGAGAGAGAGAGAGACACAGAGAGAAAAGAAGACCTTTATCCTTTATCAAATGAGATAATATTTGGGGTTTTTTCTTTAATAGTATTTTTTTTCAATTACTTGTAAAGATAGTTTTCAACATTCATTTTTGTAAAATTTTGAGTTCCAAATTTTTCTCCCTCCCTCTGTTCCCTCCTCCCAAGACAATCTGATATAGGTTATACATGTACAATCATGCTAGACGTATTTCCACATTAGTCATGTTGTGAAAGAACAATCAGAACAAAAGGGGAAAACCAGGAGAAAGAAAAAACAAAACAAAAAGTGAAAATAGCATGCTTCGATCTGCATTCAGACTCCATAGGTCTTTCTCTGGTTGTGGTTAGTACTTTCCATCATGGGTCTTTTGGAATTTTCTTAGATCATTGTATTGCTAAAAAGAGCTAAGTCTATCCTAGTTAAACGTCGAACAGTGTTGCTTTTACTGGGTACAGTGTTCTCCTGGTTCTGCTCACTTCATTCAGCATCAGACCATACAAGTCTTTCCAGGTTTTTCTGAAATCTGTCTGCTCAACAACACTTCTTATGGCACAATAGTATCCCATTATATTCACATACCACAACTTGCTCAGCCATTCCCCAATTGATGGGCATCCCCTCAATTTCCAATTCTTCGCCACCACAGAAAGAGCTGCTGTGACTATTTTTGTACATATGGGTCCTTTTCCCTTTTTTATGACCTCTTCGGGATACAGACCTAGTAGTGGTATTGTTAGATCAAAGGGTATAAACAGTTTTATAGTCCTTTGGGCATAGTTCCAAATTGCTTTCCAGAATGGCTGGATCAGTTCACAACTCCATCAACAATGCATCAGTGTTCCAATTTTCCTATATCTTCTTCAACATTTATCATTTTCCTTTTCTGTCTTGTTAACCAATCTGATAGGTGTGAGATGATACCTCAGAGTTGTTTTAATTTGCATTTCTCTAATCAATAGTGATTTAGAGCATTTTTATATGATTATAGATAGCTTTAATTTCTTCCTCTGAAAACTACCTGTTCATATCCTTTGACCACTTATCAATTGGGGAATGACTTGTATTCTTATAAATTCGACTCAGTTCTCTAAGTATTTTAGAAATGAGGCCTTTATCAGAAACACTGGCTGTAAAAATTATTTCCCAGGTTTCTTTCTAATCTTGGTTACATTGGTTTTGTTTGTGCAAAAACTTTTAAATTTAATGTAATTGAAATTATAAGACAATATTTGTAAAGTGCTTAGAATCGTGTCTGGCTCATCGTAAGTGCTTAATAATTTCTTATTCATTCTCCTTTCTTTTTATCAGAGAAACTCGCTGCAAAGATTCCCCCCAGATGGTTCCATTTTAATCTTAACTTTATTGGATTTGGTCATGCAAAAACTCTGAAATTTTATATAATTGAAATGACCCATTTTATCTTCTCTGCTCTTCTTTATCCCTTGTTTGGCCGTGAACTTTTTTTTTCTGTTCATAGATTTGATAGGTAATTTATCTCTAGGTCTTAGTTCCCATTTGGAGCTGATCTTTGTGTAAGTCATAAGGTGTTGGACTAAATCTAATTTCTTCCATGCTGCTGTTGAATTCTCCCAAAAGTTTTTGTCAAATATTGGGTCCTTATCTCAGTAGCTGGGGTCTTTGTGTTTATTGAAAACTAGAGTATTAGATATATTTACTTAATCTATTCCACTGATCAAACTATTTTCTTTAACCAATAACAAATTGTTTGGAGAATTACTGCTTTGTAGTATGGTTTGAAATGTGGTATTGCTAGGCCTTCTTTGTTTCCATTTCTTTTCATTATTTTTCTTGAGATTTTTGACCTTCCCTCTCTACCTCATGTAAATTAATTTTTTAAATTTGATTTAGTTTTCAGTTTTGAATTCTTTTCCTCTCCCCTCACCTTCCCCTACCCATTGAGAAGACAAGTAAAATAAAAACCATTGCAAATATGTATAATCATGCAAAACAAATTTCTCCATAGCATGTGTCATCATGAGTCCTTTGGAGTTGTGGTGGTTATTGTATTTAATCAAAGTTACTAAGTCTTTCAAAACTGATTATCTTTAGAATATTGTTATTACAGTATAAATTGTTCCCTGGTTCTGCTCACTTCATTTTGTAGCAGTTCACACAAGTCTTTCCAGGTTTCTCTGAAACAATCCCCCTCATCATTTTTTACAGAACCTTGTATTTTATTACATTTATGTACCATGAGTTGTTCAGTCATTCCTCAACTGATGGGAATCCCTTCAGTTTCAAATTATTTTCTACCACAAAAAGAGAGGCAATAAATATTTTTGTATATGTGGGTCCTTTTCCTCTTTCTTTGATATCTTTAGGATACAGACCTAGAAGAGTCATTGCTGGGTCAAAAGATATACACAATTTCATAACTTTGGGGGCATAGCTCCATATTGCTTGCCAGAATGGCTGAACCAGCTGGACCAGCTATACCAACAATGCCTTAGTGTGCTTTTTTTCCCCCACAATCCCTCCAGCATTTCTGTCATCTTAGTCAAATTGATGGATGTGAAGTGGTACCTCATAGTTGTTTTAATTTGCATTTGTCTAATTATTATTCAGAGTTATTTTTTCATATAGTTATTGATAGCTTTGACTTCTTCCTCTGAAAACTGCCTATTCATATCCCTTGACCATGTATCAACTGGGGAATGGGTCTTTTTCTTATAAATTTGACTCAGTTCCCTAAATACCTTAGAAATGAGATTATTATCAGAGAAATTTGCTACAAAGATTTCCCCCTGGTTTCCTACGCCTTCCTCCCAATTTGGCTGCATTTGGTTTTGTTTGTGCAAAATTGTTTAATTTGATGTAATTAAAATGATTGATTCTTCCTCCTGTGAACCTCTCTGTTTCTCATTTAGCCATGAACTCTTCCCTTATCAACAGACCTGACACTTCATTTCTTCCACATTCCACTAGTTTGTTTATATTCCCCTTTTTGTCTAAATTATGTACTCCTTTTGAAGTTTCTTACTATATGGTGTGAGATGTTAGTCTATGCCTGGTTTCTGCCAGATTACTCTCCATTTTTCCCAATAGTTTTTTGTCATGTGATAAGTTCTTGCCCCAATAATTGGGATCTTTGGGTTTATCAGGGACTAGGTTACTGTACTCATTTGTTTCCATGTATTGTATCTAACCTGTTTCAATGAGCAACTTCTCTACTTCTTACCCAGTAGCAGACTATTTTGATGATTACAGCTTTGTAGCACAGTTTGAGATCTGGTACTGCTAGGCCTCCTTCCTTCCTATTTGTTTTTCATTGTTTCTCTTAATATTCTTGACCTTTTTGCTCCTCCAGATAAATTCCGTTATTATTTTTTCTAGTTCTATGAAGTAATCCTTTGGTAGTTTGGTATATAATTTAATAATAATAATAATAATAGCTAACATTTATATAGTATCTACTATGTGCCATGCACTGTGCTAAGTGCTTCACAAATACTATTTCC